CTTCGTTTAGTCTTGACAGCTGGCAATATACCAGATAAAAACAAAATGTTACGGTTTTTTACATCTTTTTTTTAAATCTGAGCTGATGCTGGGATCTCACTACCTTTGAGAAACTCGTTTTATCACGTGTATTCCAATGTATGATATTTATGGTACTGGCTCTGTACTCTGACATAGTATCATCCCCTAGAGTTAGTTGGCTGCCTCCATAGCAAAATGTATATTTTTTAATGAGAATTCAGATGTTTGCAAATAGTGCAATTTTTATTCAGTAAAAACCCAGCTAGCCAATAATAGTTGTGGGGGGGGGGGACTCATCCAGATAGCTGAATGAACCAATTCGCCACGATTGAAATTACAATCAACGTAAAAACAACAGCAACCCCCTGTAAATGTACATCATATGATATATTTGTGTTGTGTATGTATGTGTTAGTGCACAAACCAAATGTCATCTTATAAAAAAAATATAGTGTGTGTGTACTGTGCACTGTGCTGTATGGAATATTAGATAATAGGAAGAATAGGGCCTGCTGATAATAGATTTCATGGACCACACAGCTGTTACGGATTATAGCAGTCGTGTATGATCGGGCCACCGATAAGTGTTGTATATACAGATAGTCCCTGAGTCACGATGGTCCGACTTACGATATTTCGACCTTACGATGGCGATACGACAAAATTGTAAGATATTTTTTATTTCGCGCGGCAGGCAAACGCAGCAGCGTACGAGATACGATCCCGTACGTTGGGACGCTGCCGGGATGTACGCATCTCCCGCCTTGTGTGATGATGCCTCACTCTCACCAGCGGTCGACGGAGTTAAGTTGTCTCGGTGTTAGCGCATGTACTGTACCTTGTGTTTTTACATTACATTTTACTGTATTGTAATTAATAAATACATAGAGTATATAGTTTATACAGTACGGTACTGTAAATTGCTCTTTTGCTAAATTATCACCATTTTTTAAGGCTGCTGGGTAGGCTAGGCCGTCTTCGACTTACGATATTTTTGACTTACGATGGGGTCGTCGTAACGCATCTCCATCGTAAGTAGAGGACTACCTGTATTTAAATATTTGTACTTGTTTTTTTTTACGATTTTTTGTTCACATCGTCTGAGCAGACCACATTTCCTTACCTACGGTGAGGGAAAAAAGTATTTGATCCCCTGCTGATTTTGTACGTTTGCCCACTGACAAAGAAATGATCAGTCTATAATTTTAATGGTAGGTTATTTGAACAGTGAGAGACAGAATAACAACAAAAAAATCCGGAAAAAACGCATGTCAAAAATGTTATAAATTGATTTGCATTTTAATGAGGGAAATAAGTATTTGACCCCTCTGCAAAACATGACTTAGTACTTGGTGGCAAAACCTTTGTTTGCAATCACAGAGGTCAAACGTTTCTTGTAGGTGGCCACCAGGTTTGCACACATCTCAGGAGGGATTTTGTCCCACTCCTCTTTGCAGATCTTCTCCAAGTCATTAAGGTTTCAACTTGAACCTTCAGCTCCCTCCACAGATTTTCTCTGGGATTAAGGTCTGGAGACTGACTAGGCCACTCCAAGACCTTAATGTGCTTCTTCTTGAGCCACTCCTTTGTTGCCTTGGCCGTGTGTTTTGGGTCATTGTCATGCTGGAATACCCATCCACGACCCATTTTCAATGCCCTGGCTGAGGGAAGGAGGTTCTCACCCAAGATTTGACGGTACATGGCCCCGTCCATCGTCCCTTTGATGCGGTGAAGTTGTCCTGTCCCCTTAGCAGAAAAAACATCCCCAAAGCATAATGTTTCCACCTCCATGTTTGACGGTGGGGATGGTGTTCTTGGGGTCATAGGCAGCATTCCTCCTCCTCCAAACACGGCGAGTTGATTTGATGCCAAAGAGCTCCATTTTGGTCTCATCTGACCACAACACTTTCACCCAGTTGTCCTCTGGCAAACTTCAGACGGGCATGTATTTGTGCTTTCTTGAGCAGGGGGACCTTGCGGGCGCTGCAGGATTTCAGTCCTTCACGGCATAGTGTTACCAATTGTTTTCTTGGTGAATATGGTCCCAGCTGCCTTGAGATCATTGACAAGATCCTTCTGTGTAGTTCTGGGTTGATTCCTCACCGTTCTCATGATCATTGCAACTCCACGAGGTGAGATCTTGCATGGAGCCCCAGGCCGAGGGAGATTGACAGTTCTTTTGTGTTTCTTCCATTTGCGAATAATCGCACCAACTGTTGTCACCTTCTCACCAAGCTGCTTGGCAATGGTCTTGTAGCCCATTGCAGCCTTGTGTAAGTCTGCAATCTTGTCCCTGACATCCTTGGAGAGCTCTTTGGTCTTGGCCATGGTGGAGAGTTTTGAATCTGATTGATTGATTGCTTCTGTGGACAGGTGTCTTTTATACAGGTAACGAGCTGAGATTAGGAGCACACTCTTAAAGGGATCCAGAAATCTTTTTGATTGAGAGGGGGTCAAATACCTATTTCCCTCATTAAAATGCAAATCAATTTATAAAATTTTTGACATGCGTTTTTCTGGATTTTGTTGTTGTTATTCTGTCTCTCACTGCTCAAATAAACCTACCATTAAAATTATAGACTCATCATTTCTTTGTCAATGGGCAAACGTACAAAATCAGCTTGGGATCAAATACTTTTTTCCCTCACTGTAGATCCCCCTGCTAATTCAAGTGAGCATTGCAGGCTGAGTTGTATTGTAGTTTAGATGAGAGCAGGGTGTAGGCTTTGACTATTCAAGTTTCTGCTGTATTGCTTAAAGATCTGAATGATTTTCGTGGCTCAACAATATACAATAGTTTTGAAAATCACAAGTGATATAATTTCAGTGTTTAATAATATATGCTTTCAGAAACACTTGAGGAATACAACCAAAGGTGCACCATTTTTTTAAATCTGTCGTGTTTTGGCATCAACATTATTCTATGTATCAGAGTGGGTGGGAAAGTTCTGCCTCCTATTGTGTCGACAAGAGGTCACTTGAAGTAGTCTTTTGCTATGAAAGAGTTCTGAATGGATTTTGCTTCTCTTGAAACAACACAAATATAATTGGGGATAATTGGGGAAAGGACAAAACAAAAACAAGTGATATATATTTTTTGATATTTATTTTGTATTGTTTTAGCTTATACAGATTGATCTCAATTTGTCTAAATGTGACATTGTTTGCAGGAAATTTGTATAAAACATAATAGATTGTTATCTACAACATTCAGTGCATATACTGAGTGAATTAGTACATTTTAATTACGTGTTTAATCGCCACAACAATACTGAGCATCCTCTTCATACTGCTAATTCCTAATTTCTTTATGAACCCTGTTTTCTATTTTCACCTTTTTATTGCTCCAGAACCTAGGCCCCCTTTTTGGATATTTCTACACACAGAATCTCTGGAAAATAATACATATTATGCCATACTAGTTTAGTGGCTATCCTGCAAATTTATTTAAAATATGATGTTATCTGCATAACATATTCATACCTCCAATGGAAAAAAAAATATCATTTGAATAGAGCTATACTAAATCTTGACTTAAAGCTTTCGTGACCGCCTGATGATGACCAGTTTAACACACGACCGCTTGTGTTGCGATCGAAACGTCGTAGTTTTTTTTGTTGATTTTATTTTGTATTAATTTGAACCTATCTACGTGACTTTACCGAAAGACCCAAAGAATAGAGCTATACCGTTCTCCGAAGCTTTCAGAGCAGGTGTGTACATTGGAGCAGATGTGCATGTAAAGCTGCAAACTGGTAAAACATTTTATTTTCTTTCTAAATACTCCCGATTAGGCATGCTGCTGGGTTATGCTGTTATTATTGGATATGCCTTTATGAAAAAGGTGGTAATGTCAGACTCCACTTTATCGGGTGATGGACTTTTGTCATTTGACAGCTGCTAAGGAAGATGATCCTTTTTCTACACTAGATCATGTGGCTTACACATAAATGGTAAGCCGTGACCAAAGTATTTTTTGTGAATTATGCCATATGGATTCGTCAAGGTTTCTATACCCCATAGTCTAATTATACAATTGTTCTGTTGTCACCTGCCTGTGGTTTTCACACCTGATGATGATTGCTTGTGTTGCAGTCGAAACGTCGTGAGAATGTTATTGTTTTATATATATTTTATTGTTATTTTATTGTTTCCCTTCTACGTGACATTACCGAAAGAACCTAGAATATGAATCCCTGCAGTCACGAAAGCTTTAAATCAAAATGTATACTTTAGTAATCGGAGGTCAAACTCTTATGTAAAATGGGTACCACTGAAAAGGTAGAACAAGGTGGGGCATTGAAGCTGAGGCTTCATGGGATGAAGAGTATTGTCTTTTGGAAGTATCTTTGGAAGATTGTGGCCCCATGTGATTGTCCTGTGGTGATACTTGCGTCTCTCGTCAACAAGGACCTGGGTTCGATTCCTGACTCTAAGTTTGAAGTTTGTCCTTTCCTGAATGGGTCGTCTCCTTTGAGTTCTCTGGTTTCCTCCGATAGCTAAAAACATCAAACGTAATCCATGTTGGGCAGACATCCCAATGCAGGACCCTCCTGAGAAAAAAAGTATTTTCACTACTTTGGTTCTTTCGGTAAAGTCACGTAGGTTTAAAATAAAATAAATTAAATCACGACGTTTCGGGCGCAACCCAAAAGCGTGTTGCGCAGCAATTGTTTCTTGCTGTGGTTGTCCCACCTGATGACGGACGCTTGTGTTGCGCCCGAAACGTCGTGATTTAATTTATTTTTTTATTTTATACCCTACGTGACTTTACCGAAAGCACCAAAGAGTATGGATCTCCTGCAGTCACGAAAACTTCAAATCAAGATTTTAGTATTTTCACTCTGTGTGGCTTTCCTGTGTAAAGATGTAATTATTGTTAAAGTTATAACCTCTTCGCTTTCGTGTTGAAAATGCATTCTTATTTTCAGAATCATGAATATTAATTTCGAATTTGTTTTTTCTCCCTTTCCCACAAGGCGGAGGCAGTAATGAGTGGACAAACTCTGGTGATTCCCATTGTGCTCTGGGGCAGACAGGCACCGACACACTGCATCTCTACCCTTCTACTTACTGAAGACCACAAGACATTGGTCACAGGTTGCTATGATGGTCAGGTCTGCCTCTGGGATGTTACCCCAGACCTACAGGTACGTCTTTCAATCACTTGAGAATGTAGTATGTATGTCAAGCACTGAAGCAAATACATTTGCAGGTAGCAGTTTTAATAATATGTATTTTTAACATTCCCATAATACAGGGTATTTTTTGGTGTTAGATCGCATAAATATATAAATGTGTCGTTTAAGCCGTCACCACCCTACACATCCAATTAGTAAGGTTTGTCACGTTAACAGAGCGTTCAAATTCGTTACTAGTGCAGCACACCAGTGTGTTGAAGAGCAAAGCCGCAACCCAGTTCTATGTATGTATGTATGTTCTCTGTAATAAATTGTTATACTTATAAAAAGGGAGGCCTGGTCGAATAGCAGTAGATTGAGTTTAGTTCTTGTCACACAATGTATTAATAACAGGCACCATTATTACGCAACATATTTTTTTAATTACAATATTCTGAAAATACAATTTTATTTTACTCTTTTGTTCTTTCAGTAAAGTCACGTAGGTAGAAAAATAAAATGAAAAATAATATATCATGACGTTTAGATATATTTGATTATTCTATGAAATGGCATCGGTTATTTTCGTATCATTAAATACTATTGATAATTATTTATGTAAATAAATAAACAAACGTTACTTACAGGAGGACTCCAGTAATCCGTGTTGATATGGGAGAACCATATGGTGCAAATCTGCCTACTGGCGGACTTTGCTTAGCACGACCCTGTAGAAGGTTTTTACAAAGAAAATTTAAGAAAATCAAAAGATTATAAAGTGCTTACGAGTCAGAAGCACACCACGCTGGCCAAGGAAACGTACCCGCCCCCCATCATTTGCTCAGCCAATGAGAGCGACTGAGCCAGCCAGAGTCCACCTCCAACGATTCGATAATCACTATTCATAGTCACTACGACGTAAAAAAAAAAAATCATCCATAAATGTTTTTTTCAAGGTGAGGTGAGAACGCACTAGACCCCGGTTAGAGTCGCAGGCTCCACCTCACAGAGGGCCGGGAGATCTTCTCTGATAATGACCCAGACTGGGAGCTAGGCCTCGGCAAGGTAAGGTAATTTACCCTGTTTACCGGGTAAAAGGGTAAAGTTAAAGGTGTCGACATGCCAAGGAGTAAGGTGAAGGTAGCGCGGAAGAATTACCCGGCAGGGTAAAGGTAGTGCGAAGTATTACCCGGCAAACACCTTGTTTACCGCTCGCTAAAAGCTCCGTGGCACAGTCCATGGCCTCCATTTCCAATGGACGCTTGTGTTGCGCCCGAAACGTCGTGATTTATTTTATTTTATACCTACGTGACTTTACCGAAAGAGCCAAAGAGTATGAACGGAGCACTTTACCTAGCTTTTACCTGTTATAAACCTTTTTCATGTGTAAGTACCCCAGTAATTACCCTGTAATCGGGTAATTTGTATGGGGTAAGGGTTAAAGGTGGGTTAAAGGTCGGCTTGTTGTTTTTGCCTTTTACCTTACCTTGCCGAGGCCTACTGGGAGCACAGCAGCTCCTTCAACCTCGTCTCCCACCGCTGCCTTGTAGTGGTATAATGACCCTCTGTGCGCTGGTTCCGTTAGCGCTCACTTCTCCAGGAACGCATCTTGAGCGCTGAATAAGGTCTGCCCTGTGCTGGTCTGTGTCAAAGGATTTGTTGTACTTTTTAGACTATAAATCCTGCAAAATCTTCCCTGCTGAAAAAACCAAACCAGCACATCTAGGCTGTTCTGATGCAAAAACAAAAAATAAAATTTTCTACCACATTTCCCAGCAGTTCCGCATTAGCCCCATCTGATTTGGCGTATCGTTATTTGCAGACCACGATGCATTTTAAATCTGCCACATTTCACCTAGCTTTCTGCAAACCCATTTATTTATTGATGAAAGTACTCTGTATTGCAAAGAGGCCCCATGGCTTCGCAATGCGAGCCCTGTAAAATGTCAAAATAGCAGAGCTGCATATAGAATCGCGGAGCTACAGAGAGAAATGTGAAATGTGTGGGATTGAAAATAATTCTTGGACATTACACTTCGATTGGAGCTTCGATTGCTATTTTTTTCCCTCTTGCATCAGCATAGCTGTGTGCTGATGTGATTTGTTCAGAAGAGAACAATTTAGCATGTTTTAGACATGATATCAAGTAAAAAAAAAGCGAATTTCAGGATCAACTGTCTCACTGATTTAGGAGGAACTTCTGGTAATTCTCGAGTTATGAGAATTTGCGGATTATTGGAGTGCGGATATTAGAAATCTTGTATGTGTTTTTGTGTTTTATATATATAAAAAAAATACATCGGTGATACATTGGTCTCGTGAGGTGGCAATGCATTTGTTGTTTAAGTTGTTTTTGTCCAACCCACAGATCATTCCACGCGCCCTGCTGTTTGGTCATGCTTCAGCCATCACTTGTCTAAGCAGGGCTAGTGATGGGCCTGAAGAAGTATACATCGTCAGTGCATCTGAAAACGGGTCAGTAGCAGTCATGCCAATTTAATCCACAGCACTTGAACATAATTACTCGTGTATCACAGCCGGTCTTAAAACCTTAACATCCATAAATAATATCTAAACATTTTATTGGTTCTTTCGGTAAAGTCACGTAGAAGGGAAACAATAAAATAATAAAAAAAATAGAAAAGAAAAAACTGAAATATTATTTATTTATTTTATTGTTTCCCTTCTACGTGACTTTAAAGAACCAAGAATATGAATCCCTGCAGTCACGAAAGCTTTAAGTCAAATTTCTAAACGGTTCACTGCTCAATTATCCCTCGGAAGATTATCCAGGTAGGGGATTTAACCGTACTTATCCGCATCCTTTAACGCACACCCTGGTTCTAGCCGCTGCCCTCTCACTCGTTGCTGGTCAGTGAGTCGGTGCCTCCATGACCGCAAACGTGTCGGCAAGTAAACCTATTAGTTTGAGAAACATTTAAAACAGATGGTGCATTTTACGTCTTTAATTTGGCTTCCATTCTACGGAGGTAAATAAACGCGTTTTGCAGTCTAATTTACATGGATTTTGCGTTATCCGTGTGTTCGTTTTATCCGAACCACTCGTATGCAATATTAACCGCTTGCCTGTAATGAATGGAAGCCCAATTAATGTGCTAATGGCGTGAGGAGGAATGGTTTAAATTTGATATTTTTAACCGAAGTATTGAAAAATAAGGTCGCAGATCATCATTCGCCAGTGAAATTATTGACCCACAATGGTCGGCTATTTAATCAAACAATTGAATAGTAATAGTGATTGTTTGAAAGTTGTATGCATGATTGCATGATTAATGGGAGACACAGTTGCAGTAGCTGCAATTGGTACAACTGATCATGTATTGTCCATAAAAAATGCGTTTGCACTTCAAAAAAATATGAACAAGCATGCGGACATCAACGCATAATCAGCTATTTTTGTTAACTCATTAGGTGGGTTTGAATTGCCCACGTGGTAGACAATTGATGTGGAGCAGTTGTTACAATAAAGCCTGCCCTCCACATGCCGCCCTGAGCTGTGTAGAAATGGCTAACATTCACAATTATTAACTTTTTTCTTTCAGAGAAATGTGTCTAAGTGATGTAAGTGATGGACGTTGCCTTGAGTTCACAAAGCTTGCCTGCTCTCACATAGCAATCCACGTGAGTATCAGTCGTCTTGGAAATTGCACACTGACCAAAGAAGTCTGGACATTGTTTTTTAAAATAATAATAATTACTATATCTTGATGGAAATGTAATTGTGATATGTTTAACACATTTTTATTCATTGCTTATTGTTAGAAATTGTTTATTTCTGAATATTTAATGATATTTATATGTGAACACTTACCCGTTAATGGAGTTACATACAGCATGAGACACAACACCTTGTAATCCATAGAGGTAACATAAGCATAATTTGGGCCCTCGTAGGTTTTAAATGGACTTGCACAGTGCGGTGTTGTTGTGATACATAAGAGCCTTTTATGTAACTTGTCAAATTACCACAGCCATGAGGAGGAAGTGAGCCAGCCCAGTTCACAAACAGGGAAAATGAGTTCAGCCTGGATTCGCGGAGCAACTTACAGGAGTCACATGACTCAAAGTGCCGGACCACATAACTCGCAGCCAGAAGTGTTTGCATAGACATGGCACCCGAGCCATCCTCGGAACCAGTCATGATGCTCCTGGATAACGTAGACGAGAGATTCGAATTCCTGATTTTATTTTGAAAAATGCCCAAGCCTGGGTTAAGCCTCGTTAAATATTGCTTTGTATTTGTGTGACGGCTTTCCCTCTGTGAAACTGCACAGCAGGACTGGAGCAAGATACAAGTTATGTTGGGGCGTTTTTAGAAAATCCCAGAATAGTTTGGGCCCGGTGTTTTAATGGCCGTGGAAACGTAGCATAATATGACTGCATTTTTTCTAGTAATTGTGTTATCGTGCGACCGCTCAGACTGTCTTGCCATAAACCATTAACACGTTGTGTGCTGTGTACATATTATATGTTTTTTTTCAGTATTATCAGAGCACAAGCAGACACACACAAACAGGCAGATTGTTGTGTTATGGCCACTACCCAGAAATCCTGGTCATGGATGCCGGTAGTCTGAACATACTCTTCACCCTCGTTTCCAAGATTTCTCCAGACTGGATCAGTGCTATGACAATGGCTTTTTCTTCACAAGCACAAGGTTGGTATTCCCTCGTTATATGCGAGGGATGCATTCCGGAGATACTCGTGAATAGAAAATTTTGCGTATAATAATATTGGCCGACATATCGTACACGCAACATCTGCAGATGCTTCTAAAGCTTCGAGAAGTTTTCTCCCTCACCTCTTTATCTCATCACTTTCTTACATCACATTCTGTTACATCACATTCTATTAGTTCGCTTCATCTCTCATCACTTTAGCACATCACATTCATGCAACGCATTCTTGCTCATCACTTTTTCTCGCATCACTTTATCTCATCACTTCATCTCTCATCAGAGTCTCTCTCATCTCTTTATCTCTCATCACTTTCTGTCATCACTTTATATCATCACTTTCTTTAATAAAGTTCCACATGCGATTCGCGGACAGCAAGTTTGTGAATAATGAGGGAATGCTGTTTATGAAAAAGAATACACACATTTGACCATTACTTGCTATATCCCAGTGGCTATGAGGTTTGAACACACATGGTAAACAGCATCATTTGTACGTATGTATTTTTGTATATATATGTATCTATCTATCTTTGCTTGGAGAAATTATCTTACTGTTCTACCAATTTCATTGAATGATGTGTCACTAGAGTCTTAAATCCAATAATTCAGATTCTTCGCCTGGGTGCTGCCTACGCACTCTACCATTTAAAATGATGATGCATCTCACAGCCGCATTAAAAAATGGTACAACAGATGGGTGTCTAGCATTGGAGAGGGTTATGTTCGGGAGGAGGGGGCTTCACGCTCTATTTCATGAACGAGTTGTTGGTGATGGTCAGGTTATTATTCAGTAGGCCTCGGCAAGGTAAACCCTCCTTCATCTCACAGAGCCAATTAATGAAAGTGTCACGGGAACAAACTTGCCAAATGTATTACAGCTGCAGCAGAACACGACCGATATGTTGGGAGATGTAATTGAATAATTACAGTGGATTGATATTTGATGGTTTGTAATTGGCAGGTCAGATAAGTGTAATAAAGTGAATATATTTAGCCAATTGTGAAAATAGGATATCCTTAAATATGTTAAAGGTTAATTTAGTTAATTAATATTATGGAGATTAGCACTGAGGAATTAGTGATAACAAATACATTGTTGGTCTACTAATTAGCTACATTATTTAAAAAAAAATATTGATTAAGCTAAATGGCAAGAGCAATCAACTCTAATTATTATATTAGATCAAGTGCGTAACTATGTAGATGCCATCATGGCATCTACTTAAGGACCTTGATCATGAAGCGCTTTCACCCGAGATCTGAGCTCCTGTTAACAACCTGATGAGGCTGGATGCAATCTCCAGCAAAACGTCGTTACCTATTTCAATGGTGTGAGATTATTCTCCACACCAGTGGTGCTGTGAGCAGTAATACATTCGACGTGTTTTATTTAAGAGACATATTTTTGTTTATCATCAATAATATATGGTCGCGAAAGGCCTACGTGTTAAACTGACATTTTTATTAGTTGGCTGTGTCGGGTGTCGGAGGGTTTTACACATTCTTGCACAGTTTTACACAAAATAAACCAATTATCGTAATATTGGTCGTGAAAGCCTGCATGTAAAATGGTCAAGCTAGTTGACGGCTGGTGAGTGGCGTCGCACGAGTGGTGAATGTCTTCTGACGAGAGTCAGGCGAGCGTCGTGTGGGAAATTCACCCCGTCAGACGGGGACAGGCCGTCTATTGGTTTAAAATAATTATATTTGCCTATATTTACTTGTCCGCTGTTGATGTATTACAGAGGACAAAGTGATCGCTGTGTCTGTTTCGGGAAATCTTAAAGTCTGGAATCTGAAACACATTTCTAATAAGTTACAGGTGAGTACAACCGTGAATTTTAAGTTTTTAAATCATTACAATATCTTACGTACTATAATATGTAATGTTAATCGTAATGATTAAGGCTTTAAATAGTGCAAGCACTAGATGATCCAGATATTTTAAACATACTTTAGCGTATTCTTAGCTCTTTCGGTAAAGTCACGTTGAAGGGAAACAATAAAATAATAAAATATATATAAAACAATAAAAATCCTCACGACGTTTCGACCATAACACAAACGGTCGTCATCAGGTGTGTCAGTTTGCATAAATTTATTTATTCTTAAACGGTGTATTTATTTATAAAAAAACGTCAGCGCCACGCGCAGCGATTTGGCAGTTTGTTTAGAAGGACGAGTCCATCTATGTTCTGAAAAGAGGAGGGGGGAGACGAAAAATTAATGTATGCTGTCTGAAAGCCACTGTAAGCGTGTATAATTATGCAAATATCGAAGTTGAAAAACAATAATGGTTGGTATAGTCCTTATCTGCCATGTGAAGGGTGTGATTTTGTAGGAATGGTTATCATGGTTACATTAACTATACAGTGGTACCCCGGAGATCGAACTTAATTAGTTCCAGAAGGCCATTCGAACACCTATTTGTTCGAACACCGAATTAATTTTCCCCATAAGAGTTAATGTAAATGGCATTAATTGGTTCCAGACACAAGAAATCTCTCATTATAAAGCATTTTTACACGAAGTTTACAGTAATTACATGCATAAAATCATACAAAAAAACAAACAATAAATAAATGGAATAAATATATGGAATAAATTAAATAAATGAACATTGAACTTCACTTTACCTGTAGTAAGGAGAGTTGATGGCTTGAGTGGAAGGTGGTGAGGAGGAGGAGGAGGTGGTGGTGTTATTGTTTGGAAGGGGGAGTCCCCTTTGTCTGGGCAAGCGTCATGCACGCTGGGCCATATGCGTCTCAGCCGTATTGGTTCTTTCAAGTCGCGATTTCCCGTTCGACCTCCGAATTTCGTTCGGTTTCCGGGGCAAAAAAATGTTTGGAAATATGGTTCGAACACCGATTTGTTCGAGTTCTGGTGCGTTCGTTCTCCGAGGTTCTACTACTTTGGCACCGTGCTCCTAGACCCCACCAAATGGGCCTCGAAGTGCCTTACTCTGAATTGCAGTGTAGATAATGTGAACCTCACCTGTTCTCCATAATAAAGGTTTTTGGGTTAGATCGCGTTATTTATAAATGTGTCGTAACCCTCCACCACCCGACACGGCCAAACAGTAAAAAAATGTGTCACGTTTACTGCACCTAAATGAGTTAAATGATGATGTCACCCTGCTGCTCTATTTAAGACCAGGAGCAAGTGAGAGCTTTACCATTCTGGCGAATTGCCCAATGATGCTGGATGTAATTACCAGCGAAACGTCGTACTCAAATTTTAAATGATGTTGATTCACTCTTCAACACACCGTGGGCTAAAGTAGTGAACTATTTGTCCTTTGTAAACGTGACACATTTTTTACTGTTTGGCCGTGTCGGGTGGTGGAGGGTTACGACACATTTATAAATAACGCGATCTAACCCAAAAACCTTTATTATGAATAATATTGGTCGCGAAAGCCTGCTACGTGTTAAACTCACCTGTTCTGCCTGTGTTGGATAGTGTTGGACCCCTCACATACGTGGGCTTTCTACGGGTGCTTTTATTTTCACCAAGATATAAACACTCATTAATTTGACCCATAACACCTTAATACACGCTGACTCTACTTAATTACAGTTAAATAGACTGTCTACAGATTATATTATAGAATGGTATTGCAATTTTAAAAATACAAAAATGTTCTCATTCTTAACTAAAGAACCACCTTCGTGCTTACGTGTACAGAAATGTGTTTTCCAAGATGTTGTTTGTTGTTCCAGATAGGAGAGATATTGCACGAGGAAGAATCAAAGCCAATTCACTGCACAGACTGCCAAGACATCTGTTTCTGCTCCTTCACATGCCGATCTTTGTTGCTGGTCTCCACATCATGTTGGATGGTAACAGTTTTCAACGTTAAACGTTTTATTTTTCAAGTAATGGAATTTATAACGTTTTTTTTTCTTTATGCGGTAAAACCTTGGATTGCGAGCATAATTCCTTCCGGAAACGCGTTTGTAATCCAAAGCACTTGTATATCAAAGCGAATTTCCCCATAAGAAATAATGGAAACTCAGATGATTCGTTCCACAACCCAAATATATTCGGTACAGTTACTAAAGAACAGTCACTACACTTGGACACAAAATAAAAAAAATGCTTTACGCACACACACGTGGTCACAACACTATCGTAAACAGTAAACGCTCGCACGGATGTTGAGTGAGGCACGCCGACTGAGACCGAGCATTGGAGATGATTACCCACAATCCCGCAGCGAGAGAGAGAGAAGAACCATCGGCTCAGTTGTGATCACGTGACGCTCGGCAGACAAAGCGTATACTGTACTACTCGTATTGCAAGACCTCGCTCGTTTATCAAGTTAAACTTTATTTTAAAAAATGTTGCTTGTATTGCAAAACACTCGCAGACCAAGTTACTCGCAATCCAACGTTTTACTGTTTATTTCTTGTGTAACAGATCATTGCTGTATGGTAAAACCTCTGAGAAGCTGGATTAATTGGGGGTAAGAGCCTTTCTGGTGATGGGGGGGAGGGTGTCTGGCATACTGCAGTTGATTCAGTCTTTTCAGAATTCATCATCGTCGTCATCATCATCAGCCATGATCAGTCCACTGCTGGATGAAGGCCTCCCCAAGCTGCCGCCACATCTCAGTCTTGCAGTGGCAACCTCTCCTGCGCATGAACTACTTTCATCCCTCCAGCAACTCGGTGGACATCCTCAGAATTGTTCAATTCCTCAGCTACTGCTCCGTTATAATTTATGTCATGTACAGCAACCATGAACACATGAAAAGACCTCGGTTCATAATTTTTGAGTAAAACGCTACTGCATACACAATATACATATACGTAAAATGTAAAAACGTAAATGTCTTTGGGAACAGTAGCCAATGGTTTTTTTTTATTGTCATATTTGAATTCAGCACGTCAAAATCCATAATAAACAGCACATTTCATCTCTGAAGCAGACGACGTCTAAAAAATTGTAGACCAGTTTTATTATTCCTCACCTCGGAGGATCATCCCTTGTCCTGGCTATCCCTGCCGAAGCCCACTTGTCATAATAGTTTAAATGGTGTCATTAACCTTGAGTATAGTCCGCACCTCCGATTAGCACGGTTGGATATGGTGCAAAATAAGTTCACTAGACATTCCCTTATCCATATTTTCCTCTTTCTACCTCTGTCATTTCAAGCATGCACCTCCATGCTTTGCACACCGTTATATATATTTTTTATATATGAACCGTATGTGATAACGGGTAGAACATACTGATTAAAACCATTCTTCTCAATGCACATTGGTATATTACATTTATTATCAAGTGCCGCTTTACAAAAATAAAGCATTTCAACCTGCTCTCATCCATCTCTTTGTTTCACCATTTTGATTCCAGTCGGCCTTCATCAGGTGGGTGCCAGTTGGCAATTGGGGGGGCTCGTGGCAGTTGAGGGGGGTGACTCGTGGCAGTTGGGGGGGGGCTCGTGGCAGTTGGGGGGACTCGTGGCAGTTGGGGGGGTTCGTGGCAGTTGGGGGGGGTTCGTGGCAGTTGGGGGGACTCGTGGCAATTGGGGGGGCTCGTGGCAGTTGGGGGGGGGACTCGTGGCAGTTGGGGGGGCTTGTGGCAGTTGGGGGGGACTCGTGGCAGTTGGGGGGGCTCGTGGCAGTTGGGGCTCGTGGCAGTTGGGGGGGACTCGTGGCAGTTGGGGGGGACTCGTGGCAGTTGGGGGGACTCGTGGCAGTTGGGGGGGCTCGTGGCAGTTGGGGGGGCTCGTGGCAGTTGGGGGGGGCTCGTGGCAGGTGGGGGGACTCGTGGCAGTTGGGGGGGCTCGTGGCAGTTGGGGGGACTCGTGGCCGTTGGGGGGACTCGTGGCAGTTGGGCTCGTGGCAGTTGGGGGGGGCTCGTGGCAGTTGGGGGGACTCGTGGCAGTTGGGGGGGCTCGTGGCAGTTGGGGGGACTCGTGGCAGTTGGGGGGGGACTCGTGGCAGTTGGGGGGGGGCTCGTGGCAGTTGGGGGGGGTTCGTGGCAGTTGGGGGGCTCGTGGCAGTTGGAGGGGCTCGTGGCCATTGGGGGGGCTCGTGGCAGTTGGGGGGACTCGTGGCAGTTGGGGGGGACTCGTGGCAGTTGGGGGGACTCGTGGCAGTTGGCGAGACTCGTGGCAGTTGGGGGGACTCGTGGCAGTTGGGGGGACTCGTGGCAGTTGGGGGGACTCGTGGCAGTTGGGGGGACTCGTGGCAGTTGGGGGGGCTCGTGGCAGTTGGGGGGACTCGTGGCAGTTGGCGAGACTAGTGGCAGTTGGGGGGACTCGTGGCAGTTGGGGGGACTCGTGGCAGTTGGGGGGACTCGTGGCAGTTGGGGGGACTCGTGGCAGTTGGGGGGGCTCGTGGCAGTTGGGGGGACTCGTGGCAGTTGGGGGGGCTCGTGGCAGTTGGGGGGACTCGTGGCAGTTGGGGGGGCTCGTGGCAGTTGGGGGGGCTCTTGGCAGTTGGGGGGGGCTCTTGGCAGTTGGGGGGACTCGTGGCAGTTAGGGGGGCTCGTGGCAGTTGGGCTCGTGGCAGTTGGGGGGGGGGGCTCATGGCAGTTGGGGGGACTCGTGGCAGTTGGGGGGGCTCGTGGCAGTTGGGGGTACTCGTGGCAGTTGGGGGGGCTCGTGGCAGTTGGGGGGACTCGTGGCAGTTGGGGCTCGTGGCAGTTGGGGGGACTCGTGGCAGTTGGGGGGACTCGTGGCAGTTGGGGGGGCTTGTGGCAGTTGGGGGGCTTGTGGCAGTTGGGGGGGCTCGTGGCAGTTGGGGGGGCTCGTGGCAGTTGGGGGGGCTCGTGGCAGTTGGGGTTGCTTGGGAAGCTGCCCCACCGGGCTTCGCTGCCTTCTCCTTGCTCCCTTCCAGTTTCATTTAATTTATTTTTCAGTTTCATTTATTTGGTAGAGAGCCCTGTGTGCCATTCGGCTCTTGAATCGGGTGCAACCGCAACAAAAAAAAACTAAAACAGGAACAAGAAAACATCTTAAAGTGACTATGTGACTGTGCAAAACAGAAAATCCAGGGAAAAAAACCCAGCAAAATATTCCTGAAAAAAGCACTGTACACCAACGCTGTGTGCAAAAAAATCCCAGTGGGATGCAAGTCCAACAACAACAACCACAAGACAACTTAGATTAAGGCCAAGAGTCTAACTCCGTACTACAACAAAACAAACATGGCCAAACCAAAAAACACACGTCCACCTCTTTAGGGGGCAATCGCATTAAAAAAATTCAAAACGAAATGAACTCCACAACGCAAGTGACCAGAAACATTATACGGCCACATCGCAAAATCATCGACCCTTTGCAATGGGAGCACTCCGCTGGGCAACCCCAGCGATTACCAGGTGCCATAGGTCGACTCTCTGAGATGACTGGCCGATGCACCACCTGTGCCCCTTATTGTGCCAACTTTCTGCTTTAGCCACCCAGCACTCCGCACGTTGTTGTGAGTGTTGCTCCACTGCCCTCTGTTGTTGTTGGAGGGCGACTGCCTCCAACTGCCCAATAGCCTCCTTCATGAGCTTCATCCACAGAGGCCGATCTTAACATTGCTGGTACTACTCATCGGCAAGTCCACTCAGCTCCACATCCTCTTTTACCATATCACTCCATCTCTTGTCTAGTCTGTGCCGCTCCTTTTTATCCCCCCCCACAAAGCGATGGAATCAGCTGAGTAATAAATCGCAGACACTGCCCTCTTCAGACCTACCTGTAAGGAAAGAATGGAACCATCTAAAGACTGTTCCAGACCATCTACAAATCAGTTTTAGGCACCATGGTCCACCACGTCAAAATCTGCAGAGAGAATGAAGCAGAATCAAAATGGAATGGCTTTTCCGATGGCTTGCTATCAGGAGGCTATTCATCACCCTGAACTCGTGCTTTCTCAGGAATGTCTCTTCCGAAGTTCTGCCAGTTTCAGCGTGACCACCTCGTGAACCTTACCTGTGGAGGCAAGATGAGAGACGGGTCTGTAGTTAGCAGGACAGTCCCAGATCAAGAGGAGGTTACTTACTTTTTAAAACTGTTTAGCTTGTTTTTAATGGTCTTAAGGGGTTTGAATATTTACTCAAGCTTCACTATAATTTACTTAATATTTTACAAATGTTACTGAAGTGTCTTTTTGGGAAGTTGTTTGCATTGAAAACGTTGTTATTATATTGACTGGTATTGCAGTCGTTTGGATAGTAATGCGGTGTTTCAGATATTAATTATCACGTGGTGTAATGTAAAAACTAAATTTGAAGCATCAGTCTAGTATTTCAGTCATGAAGTCTACGCTATTGGGGAGGAGTCCTACAGTAAAACCTCTTCCTTCGCGTATTTTTCTTTAGCGAAATTCGATTCTTTGCGATTTTATATTTGTATACCAGTTTAACTTTCGCGCATTATTCCTTCAGCTATTCACGATTTTGGCAGCCTCATCATGGGGGAGGGGTGTTTTTGCAGCACAGGATATAAGTGTTTTTATTTTATTTCGATCATGGGGTCTAAGCGTCAAGTGAGTGGAGGAAATGAGAGCAAGAGTAAAAGGCAGAAAAAAGTTCAAAGTTTAGTTCAAAAAGTCAAGTTGTTGCATTGACTTGTTCGTGGTGATAGTGCATCTGCTGACCATCATCATCATAATCACATCCCCATCATCCAAAGTAATTAAAAGTGCCAAATATAAACTATAATTTATTGATGCATTTTATTTACTCTATTTTGTTGTATTATTTGTGTTACCTATTTTTATTGTACAATTTTATCAAATATATGGATGTTATTTATGCGTACAGTACAGGATTAGTGTATGTTCAGTCGGATATGGAAACCTAATTCCCTTTTTCCCATATAAACACAGCATCTTCAGTTGCGAATTCTACTTTTTGCGCAGATGTTCAAGAGCCTAATGCTCCCGAAAGTCGAGGCCTTACCTTATTAGCGAAGCAATATCCTCAATGATATTTCAATGAAGCTTTCTTCCCGAGGTACATGCTTAGAGTTCTAAATATATATTTTTTTGCCAGGTGTTTGACGCAGGTGACTTCTCAGTCCTTTGCTCGGTGTGCTCCGAAAAAGGAGAGCGGTGGTCAGGAGGAAAGTTTTTAACTGCAGATAGTGTCATCATCTGGACGGAGGAAGGAGCAGCATCTGTGTACCGCCTGCCACCCAGGTGAGCTACCAACAGCTTTGCATGCACTGTGCCATATTGCCTTCCACGCCTAACACTGGGCATACATTCATTTGCAAAGCTATTTTAGTTTTTAGTTATGTAACTAAAAAAAACCCTCCTAAAAACAATGTCTCTGTGCTTCTGTGTCTCTGTTTCCATGCCCTTTGTGTTGCTTGATTTTCGGCGTGAGTTCAAGGCGTGTGCTATCCATGGCAAATGCTTCATTGCATATTTTTTTAGGAGTTTGTATCGCAGCGTTTCACTGTACTGTAATAGTTATGAAGTATAATTTATTGACTACAGTAGTTACTGTTTTTACATGGCTAAAGATGGTATATATGTGTGTGCGTATATACAGTATGCCGGTACCGTACGTTTGTATATGTGCCTTTGTATTTTAGTCAAGTAACATTCGAAAGTAGCTTACCGAGTAGTAACTTTTAAAAGTAACCTAAGTAATTTAGAAAATTTTCAGAACTAATATAAAGTGACATTTCAGCAGCAAACATTACTTTTTTGGTACGTAATTTTGAATGTTTAAAAGTTTGCTATGTTTTTTTACGTAACTTTCCCCCGCATTGCTTGGGGGGGTCAGGCCAGTTGCACTTACACATGGGCACAACGTGTTGCTTGTATCTTGTAACTGGAATGCTCTTGACGCTGTTGCCAGAAGTAAGGAATCCCATCCACTGCTCATGGGGACCCTTACCTTGCGTATTAACATGGTCCAACGGTAGTGCATTTGCAGTTGAGATTTGGCAGGCCGCCCTGGTTATTAATGCAGGTGTCACTGTATGTTAAAGATCTGGTGACCCCTTTCGAAAATAATAGGACAATTTGTTCAAGCATCACGGTCAAAACTTGCCAAATTTGAAAATGTACTTGAAAATTTCTTAATGGAGGATGCATGTAAAACTACTGCAGACTGTAAAAACATCGCAACTTTTTGTATAACCCTGCGCTATGAGAATTATATGTCAGACCAACATTAGTGCAGTGTAAAATAGAGGTTCTGTTTTATTTACAAATCAAAGCCTGCATGGTATTTGGAATAAACTGAATTGAACGTATTAACGTGTTTCTATCCTAGATTTAAATTTAAAGCTTTCGTGACTGCTAGGATCCATACTCTTGGGTTCTATTGGGTAAAGTCACGTAGGTGAAAATAAAATAACAAAAAATCACGACGTTTCGGCCACAACACAAGCGGCCTTCATCAGGTGAAGGGACGAGACTGTCTGGAGGACAGCGCTGTCCGAAACGTCGTGATTTTTTGTTATTTTATTTTCACCTACGTGACTTTACCCAATAGAACCAAAGAGTAACGTGTTTCTCTTGTAGGCCTACTTTTCTACACATACCCATGGGTATATTGTTACAGTCATATACCTCCGTTAAAGAGGCTCACATTATTAGTACCAGTAATGAATTCAATGATAAGTAAAATATCTTGTTACTTTTTGGAAAAATGTGAAGATGTCCCAACGTTATTATTCAACGTAGTTGCTCTGCTGAACGTTGTGTAAATATTAATCAATCTTATAAATACTAGGTAATATTTAAAGTGAGCGTCTCTGCTTTTGTAATGTTCATTAGCATTTCTGATCGTTTCTGAGTTTACTTCTGACATTGCAAGTCAAATATATTTTATTAGGCAGTGTGGCATTAATTGTGTATTTGCTCTGTATCGCATGCCTCTATTTAGTCAGTTCACAAGAGTATTTTGCATTAGTTTTTAGGGCAATATGGTTCTATGAATAATTATACTTTGGCTTGAGATATAGGAATATACATCTCAGAACGTTGAGTGTAAGTTGCATTTTCCAAGGCCTTATGTACGCTGCACATTCATGTTTAAGTATAGCTGTGCCTCATCACTTGACATAGCTGACTGATCTGTTTGTGTTTACTTGTTTGCATTATCATTTGGCCTTATTGAATGTGTAATACGGTGTACCGCGGTGTCAACAATACTTTTCAAATGAAAACGCTTTGTATTTTTCACAGTTGCCTTCCGGAGAGTAAACACTTCCGCAGTGACGTTGGGAAGGTCATCGACAGTTCACCTCCCAAGCGGCTTTATCGGATAACCTGCCCTCCGGATGAACAGGTTAACATTGCTCTTGTTGTTCTACGTGGTGACTTTACCGAAAGAACCAAGAATATGAATCCCTGCAGTCACGAAAGCTTTAAATCAAAAATTGCTCTTGTTGTCTATACAGTCACACACTGCCATTTGCACACTGCCAATAACCTATATTCTTAGTTTTTTCGGTAAAGTCACGTTGAAGAGAAACAACAAAATAACAAAATATATATAAAACAATAAAAAATTCTCACGACGTTTCGACCATAACTCAAACGGTCATCATCAGGTGTGTTGGTTTGCATAAATGTATTTTTAAACGGCACATTTATTTATTTATAAAAAAAAACGTTGGCGTCACGCGCAGCGATTTGGCAGTTTGCCCAGGACTAGTCCATCTATTTTTTTGAATTTATGCAAACCAACACACCTGATGATGACCGTTTGAGTTATGGTCGAAACGTCGTGAGAATTTTTTATTGTTTTATATATATTTTGTTATTTTGTTGTTTCTCTTCAACGTGACTTTACCGAAAAAAACTAAGAATATGAATTACTGCAGTCACGAAAGCTTTAAATCAAAATGCCAATAACCTCTTTATAATATATATTTATTCTATCTGACTGTAAACCTGAAATCAATCATTACGCTGTGGGGCGGTAGTCTTAATGTGGCATGTAACAAAAAGGGTGCAAATAAGCTGTGACGTGAAATAAAAATGTTGAATATTAATACTGAATGACGAAATTAAAAAAGACAAGATGGAATGTTATCCTAATGAGTCATACTAGTACCATCACATGTAATCTCATTGAAAGACACGTGATCTCATTTTAGAACATTAAGTGTGTGTATTTACCTCTAAGAGTGGCAAATTGGATGATTGGTTCAAGAAAAATTTGTGGAAGATATATGAAATTTATGTTCTCTGATTCACAAAAGGTGAATATGGGCATTCAGCTAAAAATCACGTGTCTATATACAGGTGGTCTCTGGTTTACAACGGTCTGATTGATGATAATCCACATTTACGACGTTTATATAATGCCACAATGGTTCGTTTTACGACACACAAACTTGATTTACACCACATCTGCCGGCATGAATTCACACTTTTGAAAAGAGTCTGTCTGGTTTCCGATGTGACTTGGCGTGGAGATTTTGTTATTCTCAAGTGTTTGTATGGATTTTTTGCCTCTTGAACCCTGGTTAAATACGGCTGATAAAAAGACAAAAACGCATTGGCAAGTCATGTTTCTACTGTCTGGGAAAATAGGGTCTGATTTACGACGGTCTGATTCATGATGGGGTTTTCAGGGATGCATTGTGTCGTAAAAGAGAGGACCGAGCCTGCATTTTCTCAGTCTCGTTGGCTGTAAGAGCTAATGATGTGATCTTTAACAGGACGTTGCAATCCATTGGTTCCTATAATGACTATCATCAGCAAAAATTGAACTGTTTAAGCCAATCTCCATTTCTGTTTTTCTTTAATTCTTAATATACAATTAATTTTTTGTTTAATATTCAAATGTGTTATTTTTTTTATTTTTTACCTGTGGCAGGGCCCATTGAGCTAAGAATTAACCCTGGTGAAGGGTATCTTTTCCCCCCGACTCCTCTTCTAAATTATCCAATCAATTGGAGATCAGAGTTAAAATGGATAGCCACAGGTTTCTGAATGATCTGTACAGGTTTAAGTTGTGTGGGATTTTTCTAGGTTTTTATTTTCTTTAAAATACTAAAAGGAGTTAGTCCCACGGGTTTAAATGTAATCCTTTGTAATAACGCTTGCTTTCTCTGAGAACATTTCATATCGTTGTTCTTAAATTCATTGCATGTAACCTTATGCGTAACAACGTGTAAATCGTTTTCTAATTATGTATTTTGGGGGGATATGAATGTAATGAATATACCTTCATTTATGCACAACCTGTTTATTGATGGCTTTTTTTTTAAACACTTATTTGTGATCAGCCATTAATCTGCCTGCCAGTCATGAAGTATTTCCATGGGAAGTCGTCGTCGTCATCGTCGTCGCAGCTACTTGTGCAGGGGGACTCTATGGGCCAGTTGACAGTTTGGCGCATACCGGCAGAACAAGCACAACATCAAAGTGGTCAGTATTTCAGCTCTTGCATAATAAGCCTTGATATCCGTGAATGTTGTTCTTCTTCCAGAAGCCTCACAAACGTGGTTTAAAAGTAAAATATATGCGCAACAATTAGAATCCACCAAAATTCTTGACCAATGCGTTTCTTCATAAACTTTCATGGAAATGGATTTTGCACTCTTCCAGATGGAAACACACAGTGGGAGATTAATTGCACTTTAGTTAAGAGCAGATTCCAGTCCAGTTTTTATCTCTCCAAGGTAAAATGCAAGTATAGTGCAGATATTGCCATGGTAGGAAGATATCACATCCTTCATGAGGCATCTGGATTGCCATTCAACTTCACGGAGTAGGCATAGCACAAGGGTGCTTCACAAGTGCTGATGCATCCCAAGGTAGGGGTCAAATTAATGGAATTTGTCTCAGAAACAGAATCACATGGTTGCAGAGTGAGCATATAAAGTACGGAGTTTGCAGAGTGGATTAACCGCGCACACTTTCAATTCCTTCTCTAAGTGGCATAACGAGGGTGCAGTGGACACCCCCGTCATACACACGTGCAGTCCGTCAATGTCAAGAAGCCATCCAGGCTACGGCCATGAATTCCATTGCACCTCGCCATTGCTTCAGTATGTCCGCCAGATCCAGCAACTATACCACAGTCAATCCCACACCTTGCTCGGCTATTTTACAGCTAGCTACACACCTCCAACATGTATTGCAGCATCGGCCTCACCTTGTTCATGATGCTGGCCCCCCACCACTTCTCTAAACACTTCTGTCCTGCTGTACTTAATGGGTGCTCACGAATAACACATTGTTCTGTCAAATCTCTCTCCGTGGTGCTAACGTGAAAAATAACCGCCACTTTTTTCAAATTTTCTTGTTGTGGTTTTTACACCTGATGATGATTGCTTGTGTTGCAGTCGAAACGTCGTGATAATTTTATTGTTTTATATTTTTATACTGGAAGGAACGAAGTTGTAAACTGAGTGTACCAGCCTGCAATAGGTTAATGTGTCCGTCCGTCCGTCCCCTTTCAATACTTTAACGAAGTGAAATCTCGTGCTGTTGGGGTGTAAAAATAAAATTGCGCAAAATTCCAATGTTCCTACCAGCCCACCCTGCAGGGACCTGTTTATTTTATTGTTTCCCTTCTACGTGGTGACTTTACCGAAAGAACCAAGAATATGAACACATTGTTCCTCTACATGTGATGTGTGCTTGCAAAGACAAACATTTTAATACATTATGTAATGTATGTGGGACAATAGGAAATAAAATTGATGAATAACATTTTTTTTTTCCTTCCAGATGTGGACATGACCAGACGGGTGAGTTTGAAGTCTCACTTTGAGGTGGCAGTGCCTCGTCCAGCAGGTGTCATAGATCAGTTGAGTGTGGTTCCAGGATGCAGCAAACCTCTGCTGGTTATGTCCAGCATTTATATCCCTGCCAGTGGACAGCTCGTGTGTGGCCGTGAAGATGGAAGCATTATCATTGTACCTGCAACACAGACTGCGGCAGTGCAGCTGCTGCACGGCGAACATGCATCACGCAGAGGTAACCAACATCCTCGACGCATAAAGAGGCAGCCATTCAAATTGGAGCGAGACATTTCTTCACAGTACGTGGCAGTCAGTGTGAGGATACTCAGTTCCATAGTTCATTTATTTGGTATAGCCCTGTCAGCCATTCGGCTCTTGAATCGGGTGCAACCGCAACAAACGAAAACGTGAACAAGAAAACATCTCTTACTTAAAGAACGAAACTTAATAACTTATTTCGGATTGAGTATGTTCCTGTAAAAATGTCATTTCTTCACTTAACTTTCCCCCCCATCACTTCGCCGACGACACCCAGAATTATTTTTTCCTTCCTTTACCCCCGACAAATGCCTCCCGTATTTCAGACTGATTGATCACGGTCTGATCCTGGATGTTACACACGGAGCCCACAATCCACCACTGCGCCAGTACCTCTCCGTCACGATGCCATGTTGCCAAATCACGAATAGTCAATGGGAAGAAGGCGTGAAACGTGAACTGGTATATAAATATAAAATCGCGAATATTAGAATTTTGCAAAAGAAAAAATGTGCGTGAATGAAGATGTTTTACTGTATTATATATGTAGTGGACTGTTTTTCAGTAACATATCGGTAACATACTTGGATTGTTATGGCAACTCTCTTGGAAGTGACATTGTTTTTCGAAGTTCTGACTCATTTTAAGCAACAGCCTGGGATACACAGCCAGGTACAGGCAGTCCTCGACTTACAAACGGGTTGTGTTCCTGAGACCTGTTCTTAAGTCGATTTGTTCATATCTCGGAATTCAATATTTAATTGTACAGTGCATATGGTCAGTGTAATAATATTGGTTATGGTTCAGCAAATAAGGGATGCAATTGTTAAACTCATAAATCAGTTAAAATATTGTACATTTGCATATGATACTGTAATAGATACTCTATAGTAAATAAAACATAAAATGAAGTAATATGAAAAAAAATCAGTTTTATTTTCACTTTCCTCGAGTCCTGATGCTGGCTTGCTTGTCAGAAGGGGCGGTTTGTAACTACGACCAAACGTTTGCAAGTCGGATGGTTAAAAATAATATCTTGTGGACGTTCATAAGTGTGGATGATCGTAAGTCGGATGTTTGTATCTCGGGGACTGCTCTACCCATGAAGTGAGAGTTTTAAATATTTTGGGTTGCATTTTTAAGGTTTTTATCATTATAGTTGAAATTTCAGTGGTATAATTCTACTTACGTAATGAGACAATATGTTGACACACCTACTTGTCATCTTTTGCCACTTTATAACAGCTGGCTTATTGTAATATAGCAAAAGCGTAACTCTATTTAGACTCGTTAGTCCAGAATTTTTTCGTGATCCGTGTTATGCATATGTAAAACTGCGCAGAGAGAAAGTCTGGCTACTTTGTTTGATGCCCTGTTAAACATGTGATTTGCCCATCGTGTCACGCGAGTCTAGGCTGGCCACCCCACCGTACACTACGTGGGCACGAGGGCAAAGTGAGCAGCCTGCTCTACCCATATCAGCTGTCCCCTCGCTACGACCAACGTTGGCTGCTCTCTGGGGGCGTGGACTTCTCTGTGATCCTTTGGGATATCGTCTCTGGAGAAATGTTGCACACCTTCTGCATCCACGGTGGCGAGATCCTACAGCTGCTCGTTCCTCCAGAAGGATGCACTGTAAGTTCATGACACTTAAAACAGTAATCGTGTACTTTTTCACCAAAGTCCATAGAAACAGTTTTTTTTTTTATCAGCTGCATGATGCCATGGTTTGATATTATTTTGATAATGGGACAAAATAACAAATTGGTTTGTTTTATTGTGTCTTTGTTAATATATCATCGTGATAATGCATTGTATTTTTAAATATACACTTCACGTTTTATAGTTGTCGACAATATACAAAGGTGATTAAATATTGTGTAAGAATGTACATTTTGGTCATCGTGGACATACTTGATTTTAAGTAATGAGTCTGTACAAAGCACTCGTCCTCCCACGAAGTTTTATTTTTGGTTTGTGATGTATATTTGTTGGAACACCATAAGCATATTAATTTGTGTAATTAAGTTTATTTAAGCAATTTTCCAATACGACTAAGCTAAACATTCCATAACTGAAAAATAAGTAAAATATTTGTTCTCGTTAAAATTTGTCTTTATTATGTATGTATGTTGAACTTGTTTCGCACCGTATATAGCTTACGGTGTTATTCATAATAAAGGTTTTTGGGTTAGATCGCGTTATCTATAAATGTGTCGTAACCCTCCACCACCCGACACGGCCAATCAGCAAAAAAAAGTGTCACGTTGACAAAAGACAGATAGTTCACTACTTTAGCCCACCGGTGTGTTGAAGAGTGAATCCACAACATTTACAGTTTGAGTACGACGTTTCGCTGGTAATTACATCCAGCATCATCGGGCAATTCGCCAGAATGGTAAAGCCCTCGCTTGCTCCCGGTCTTAAATAGAGCAGCAGCAGGGTGACGTCATCACTTAACTCATTTCAGGTGCAGTGATTTGAGGCGGAGTCGGGGGGGGGTATTGTAACTATGTAATCGATTAGTAATCAGTCAATGGTTATGATTAGTAATGAGAGAGAGAGAGAGACACCAAACCAAGCACGAAAAGCAGTTTGTTCAAACCAGTGTGATCCGCAGAGGGCTCGTGAAACTGGGGCTATGCTTTCAAAAGTGTTTCGGGTGTGCAAAAGCACGCCGCCGCGTGTGCTGATGACTGCTCTTGTCCTTGTGCTGCTCACGAGACAGCCACGTGTGCAGCACTGCGTGTGTTCGGTGGCAAGCGACCACTCGGTGGCCTTGCTGAGTCTCAAGGAAAGACGCTGCATCATGCTGGCGTCACGCCACCTCTTCCCTGTGCAAACCGTCAAGTGGCGCCCGCTTGATGACTACCTGGTGGTCGGCTGCTCAGATGGGTCCGTCTACGTGTGGCAAATGGAGAACGGTGAGACCTCGCAGCCGTTCAGTAACCCAAGTGCTGCGTCTTCTTTGGTTCTTTCGGTAAAGTCGCGCAGAATGAGAATTAAAAAGATGATAATAAATTAATTAAAAAAAAAACGACACGGTAAGATTCCCACGACGTTTCGGCCACAGCACAAGTGGCCTTCCTCAGGTGAAAGGAACGACATTGAAGCTCTGTCGTCCCGACAGGTCTGTAACTTTCACCTGAGGAAGGCCACTTGTGTTGCGGCCGAAACGTTCGTGATAATTTTATTGTGGTGTTTTGTTTTATTGATTTATTATTTTATTCTCATTCTACGTGGTGACTTTACCGAAAGAACCAAAGAAGATGAATTTACTTGCAGTCACGAAAGCTTTAAATCGAAATTTAAGTGCTATAATGAGCAACTAGGTTTGTGAGTGCATTTTTTTAACGCGTCGATTTATATGCACTATATCCCCCTATGGCCTAACACAACCACGTGATGTTCAGTTTATCCCCTCAACACCAACCAGAGACTTATCCTAAATATTGAAATGTTTTAGTTGTTTTACAATGTATTGGAAACATTTACAATATATAAAAACGTTAGGGACTTTGTTAGCAGTGGTGCACAAGTATAAACACACCATAAAACCCACAGCATGTTTCAATAGCATCATCTTATAATTTACTACTATATTTACCCAAGAACGTCAGTGTGTAATGCGCATAACGTCACTCAACGTCGACCAGCCCCCCTCATTAATAATTATGAGCAGGTGACGTCACTCCACATCAAACAGCCCCCCTCATTAATAATCATGAAGCGGTGACGTCCTCCAAATGGACACCCCCCCACCATTAATAATAATAATAATTAGTGGGTGACGTCACTCCACATGGGGGGGGGGGGGCGAGGCGCCTCCTCCCCCCTCCTCAGCGTCAACTGACAACCCTCACTACAAAGGCAGAACCCTCAGTCACGTGATCTCCGTAACGCTATTGAGACATAGAAGTAAAAAGGACGTCATGATGAACAAGGGATTATAACCTTTAAATGAAATAAGTCTGTGTCACCGCGGCCTTACAAATTGCACACGAATTAATGCAATGAATACATCACATCGCGGTCTGCTTTTCGCTTGCAAGTTTCAGATTTACTGCAATACACCCGTCCTTCGACGGGCAAAAGGCTAGTAGAGTATAGAGTAGGCCATTCCTTCACATCAGAGAGAAAAGGCAGAGCGATTGGCTGATGTGCAGTTGGAGGTTTAATATACTGGGCGAAGTGATAAGGATGGCCTTTTAAATGGTCCTGGGATAATATATTTGGGTTTCTGATAAGCACGTTGAATTAATATTGACTATCAGGTGTCGTATAGCTGTTGGAATAACAATGCTAGACTAAGATTTCCATTGTTTTTAAATCTCCAAGAGGCCTTTCGATTCTAATAAAAGGGTACCTTTCTGTATCCCAATTTTGTGGGGGTTTATCGTCACTTTGTGCGCAGGAGCATTGGATCGGTGTGTAATGGGCATCAGTGCAGTGCAGATATTACAAGGCTGTGATGAAGCTGTTCCTGCAGCCTTGGAGAGTGCGAGCCACCCAGCAGTAAACCTGAAGCAGGCCATGGCTCGGCGCAGCTTGGCCGCCCTCAAGCACGCAGCCCACCACAAGCTTCACAGCCTGGCCACCAACCTGCTTGCGTCTGATGTCAATGACAAGGTATCTCACGTAAACCATGTTGGTATCCCTTTAACGTGTGTTTGGCACACTCGTTTGTAAGCTTAAACTAGACAAAACACATTTGCCTTTCACGAAGAAAAAAACAAAACCGAATGAGTACCTAATTATTTGACGATTGAATTAAAGTTGAATTCATAGGTTACTGATTTATTACATTCTCATTTAACAGTGGTGAAATTTAATTAGTGAATACTGCCTGCTATGACATGGTCCAGTAAACATGGTCATTCATGAAAAAAGTGCACATAGAAACGTGGAGAAATTAGTGTTTGGAATTACACTGAGACAGAAATAGGCACAAATGGTTAATGGCATCATTAAAACTGTAAGCAAAAGTGGGCCTGGGAAGCTAAATGAGAATTTGGCTGATGGTTAAAAATCATGGCAAAGTGACGGATAAGAAATTTTATGCATCTGAGAGAACAAGGAAATGGAGCGTTGAAATTGGTTATTGTGGGCGCTGCAGTGGCAGGAGGTCGTGGGTTCGATCCCGACCCTGATAGGTAACTGTGTATTTGAAGTTTGCTTGTCTCTCTCCCCCTGGTCACGTGGAATTTTCTCCAGGTCCTCTGGTTTTTCAATCCACATTTAGAAACATGCGTTTAGAGTTTTTGGCTGCGATACATTTCCATGTGATAAGCCGCTTCATAGAGCTATCGTTTGTGGCCAGATAGCTTCTGAAAAATAACTATATAGCTCAGTGGGCTTTACTTGGTAAAATAAAAAAAATAGTTTAGTTTTAGATTATTGCATTATTTGTGAGATATGGCAGTAGCTTTGGGAGGATTTTATTCAGCAGTGGTTCACCAGGGGCTGGTAATGATAATTACATTTTATCGTCTGTGAATACCATCATCTTATTATCCATTTATAAATCTAGTCCAAGGGATTTGTGTTTTTTTCCATATTTAGACATGTCTCAGGAGGAAGATTTAATTTGTGTTTTTTTCCATATTTAGACATGTCTCAGGATAGTTCATGGTAAATGTTGTCTACCTTTTTAGGATTCAAGTAAAAAAAACATTCACCTCTTAACTTGACTTGTTATCTTTCTGTTTTGTTGCAGGATGCGCTCCCTAAACACTCCAACACGGCGCTGCTAGTTCAGGCCCTTCGCATGAGTTTGGGAGATCCGGACATCCACGTGCTATTTTTTGACGTGGAAGCTTTGGTTGTACAGTTGCTGACAGAAGAGGCATCACGCCCAGTCCCTGCGCTGGTTTCTCCAGACACGCTACGTAGGCCGTCCAGTTTCTTGGACCGTGGAGGTTTGGCAACATCCTCTTTTCTTGCCGGGAAGAAGGCCGGTGACATATTTCAGCAAGTCAAAGACACTATCAAGGAAAATATCAAAGGTAACTACATAGTTTATCTTGGTTTGTGTGGCAAATTACCATGCCTAAATACGTTTTTACTTAATTTAGGAATATAAAGTATTTTTTTACAGTATAACACCTTCTTTGTACACCCGACCCCCCCCCCCCCCCCCCCCCCCCGCTCTGTACAGACGATGCATTCTGAGAAATGGCCATGCAGTGTGAATCCATGCAGAGGGAACCCAGTTTTACAGAGTAGCCAAATCAGTGACAACCATTCCATGATGGGTCAGATGAATGGGTACACTATGGATAAGAATATCATTGAATACCAGCTCGCTCTGCGGTATTCATCTGAAACCTCGCCACGCAGCACTATTTGTGCTTGCGTAACTAACGCAAACATTTCCGCACGTTGAATCTTTCTACACGATTTATGGGAGCATTTCCGTAAAGTTGGATTTCCGTAATTTGGGTCTTCTGCATCTCGGGGACTTACTGTATGTTTGTATTTAGAACTTTCGCACCGTATGTTGCCAATAGTGCTAAGCGGAGGTGCAGAGGAAGGACAACAAACTAAACACAAGTTTCGATTTAAAGCTTTCGTGACTGCAGGGATTCATGTTCTTGGTTCTTTCGGTAAAGTCACGTAGAAGGGGAATAATAAAGTGTCACGTTGACAAAAAAAATCATGAAAATAAAACATAGCTGTCGGAAAGACAGCGTCTTAATGAATTTTATTATATTATGTTTTATTTTTATAATTTTATTATTTCCCTTCTACGTGACTTTACCGAAAGAACCAATAATATAAACACAACAGCATTTTCAAAGAAATGAGTCAACTACTATAGATTTATAAAAGTGCATAGCTCCAATGGCTTCCTAATATTGGATGCAAGAGCATTCCAGATGGCTGTAGAAGCCCATCTGGTGATGGAAGGAACTGTTTAATTTACAGCCTTATGTAATATTCTCAGTGACTGGGTTTTCATGACCCTAATCAAAATGGAATTCTAGTCAGTTGTGATAGTTAAGTACAGTAAAACCTTGGATTGCGAGCATAATTTGTTCCGGAAACGTGTTTGTAATCCAAAGCACTCGTATATCAAAGCACTCGTATATCAGTTGTGATCACGTGACGCTCGGCAGTACAAAGCGTACACGTGCTACTCGTATTGCAAGACCTCGCTCGTTTATCAAATTAATATTTATTTAAAAATTTTGCTCGTCTTGCAAAACACTCGCAGACCAGGTTACTCGCAATCCAAGGTTTTACTGTACAGTATCTCCATGTTTAGTAGGTAAAGGTCTATAACTTTCACCTTATGCAATTAAATTAGTATGATGCAAGAAGTGTCTTATCATCTGCAACATTTTGGAGTTGCAGGGTGTGTGAAAATGCATAATGTCTGCAATTTTCCTGAATATTACCCTCCTGTTTTGTGGAATGATTTCCTATTCACTGCAAGAAATGCATAAATAAGAGTCATGCGGAAATTACGCTCTGTTTACCGACGTGTTATCGGCGACTTTTTAAACGTGGCACCAAATATACATTTTCAGTACCGGAAAAGATACACGGGGAGACCCTTGCATATCACGGGGGGTTACGTTCTTGGAAAGTGGCGCGAAAGCCAAAACCGCGCAATACAACACTTAAGCCTTGCATAAATAACGGGGTTAGGTACAAGGCAACCATGCAGAAACACATCACAATTGAAATAAGTCCGTACTATATGCCCAATTAACTAAAAACCAAATAATTAAATAAGCACGCAAAAACCCTGTACAAAATATATTCCAAGACAATAAATAGTATAAATTCTGTCCTTATGATCCAGAGCAGGTGTCTTTGTGGGGAGTGTTAGCGCTACGGTTAGCGCGCTGCGCTATGAACTCGGTGACTCGAGTTCAATTCCTGCTCACGCCCAACACCAGTGACGATGATCTGAATCGTTCCTGGGCCTCCCCTAGGTCGACTCGGCCTCAAATGAGATCTCTGGTATGATGTTTGAACATCACGCTGGCCATCCACCTCCTCGTGTGTCGTGCAGGCCTTCATAGGTGCTCGCTGATAGCACTTGCCCCAACAGTTGGTTAAGGCTACGCTGGGGATCTTTGTCGTTGTCCGCGAGATGCTTGCACGGCAAAGATTGAGGTGCCACTGGCAGCTCTTGCGTCCCTCGCCAGCACCACGGTATCAGTCAATGAAACAGTTCTTCCGGGTACACTTTACCCACGAAAGGCCAAAACTAACCACCGTGATGGCTACAATAGTTTAAAATCGTAAAAGACAAACCTGCCGATTTTCACGGATTTTCTGTGATCTACAAATTGAGGAAGTCCATCCTGAGATGTTTAATCTTCATTCGGGTGCTAAGGATTAAGCACTGTTGTGGACGTTACAGCTAAACTACCCTTAATCTGGAATAATAATTTGAATGCTTCCGAAACAGATGCAGTGCATTCCATTAAAACATGTTTGTGTTACATGTTTAAGCTTGTGTGTTTAGACACAGACATCGGTAAACTGTGATATCAATCCTTATTGTATTTTGATGCTTGCCGAGGACAGTTATTCACCGTACTTTGTCCTTCAGAGCATCTGTTGGATGATGATGACGATGAGGACGAGCAAGATCAAAGTCATGATGGACATATGGAACGCCGGTCTCACCACTCCAAGCCTCTCACTCTACAAGGCTCAAATCTGACCATGGAGACAGCGAAGCTGTTTATGTCCTGTCTGCACACTTGGGGACTCGATCAAGCACTTGATGAGATCTGTCTCTCCAGGCTTGGCTTGCTTAAACCTCACTGCCCTGTCTCATTTGGACTGGTTTCACGTGGGGGTCACATGTCTCTCATGCTACCTGGCTGGAGGCGTCACCATGCTCCAAGTGTGTAAAATGAAATTTAATTATCTAATCATTGTATTGTTTCGATTTAAAGCTTTCGTGACTGCAAGGATTCATCTTCTTTGGTTCTTTCGGTAAAGTCACGTAGAATGAGAATAAAATAAAACAATAAAATTCTCACGACGTTTCGGCCACAACACAAGTGGCCACTTGTGTTGTGGCCGAAACGTCGTGAGAATTTTAGTGGCCACTTGTGTTGTGGCCGAAACGTCGTGAGAATTTTATTGTTTTATTTTATTATTTTATTCTCATTCTACGTTACTTTACCAAAAGAACCAAAGAACATTGTATTGTTGCTATGACAATTGCCAGTTTTTGTATGTTTGATAAGTCCTTCCAATATCTTATTGGTTCTATAGCGTCTTAGTGTCAGTGAAAGTAAGTATATTTTGCGTGTTGTAAATAGAATAACTTTTGCTCAATGTCAAGAGGCGATCGTGGCCATTGCGGTTGATGTCACCACACATCACCCACCACTCCTTTCGATTAAATCTTATAGCTTGTGCAAAGTTTACACCTGACGTCTAAGGTCTACCCTCCACAGGGTATACCACTCTGCATCTAACGATCCATCAATATAGTAGAATTTCAATTATTACACTCGTGATAATTGGATCAGGACACGATTATAAGAATCATTGATTTGCACTAAATGTAGATAAAATACAAGTGATATGTTTATGCTATATTTAGGATAATGGTTAACTCGGGTTTGTTGACTATAAAAACAAAATGTTTATTTTCTCTTTTGTTAAGACGTTATGGTTCTTTATTTCTATCCTGAGTCAAAGCCATTTTTTTCTCTCCTCTCTCCATCGAGCTTTGTAGTAACCCCAAGCAGCATCGTTTTACGTTTTCTGCGGTTATGCATGGCCTCTTCACTTGAACATTCCTCCACTTTCCTTTCTTAATCTCGGGCCTAGCACCTCTGTATGTCATTCACCTGCTGTAGGGTTCCCTCGACCTGCATGCAACCTACGGGCCTGCCCGCCATGTTTTCATTAAAATTCCTTTCACACTTGCGAATCTTCAACGTTTCTGTGACAAAGTATCCACCCACCTCTCACTGCATTTTACCTCCCAACATCATACCTGTACGATAAGTAGATTCTCATTCGATGCTATTTCTTCATCTTTGTAGTCTTGCACATGACTAGCCAATGTTTGTTAAATGTCGATTCCATGCGTAAGTCGACCCCTGGTATACGAGTTAATTCGTTCAGCATTTCTCTACGTTTTTACATCCCATGAAATGTAATGCAGGTGGGAAATAAGTTGTCCGTTATGAGATTCAAGATTACGTGTAATTGTGTTTTGCCCGCAGATATTGAGCAGGAGAAGACTTTGAATAGCACCCTTGGTGTTTCAAAAGCTGTAACCACACAGCATCTGCTGTCCATCATCTCACTGTCCAACACCCTCATGAGCATGACCAATGCCACATTCAAAGACAGCACCAGCAAGAAGCCGCTACACAAGTGAGTAAAATAGCAATGGTATATTTTAAATAGTTATTTAATGCATTCATATAATTTCCATCAAATATTGCATTAATTGGCTACTCATCCAATAACGGAACATACGGCAATTGATAGCAGATTAGGTATCAAAACACAAGGCCAGCAGGTAGATATTTAATAAATACATATTAGAAGGGGAGTAGGCCTCGGTAACACTTTTGTCAATGTTATTCATGGCGACATAAAGATACATATTCGGAAAATGGTATTAGATTTGCTGACAACACCGCCGTGATAGCATCCAATGGCCATGAACTACAGGGTACACTAGAATAACTCAATGATGATAGCCGCAATGTTCGACTCAAGATAAATATGAGAAAAACATGTTTAGTTTCAAATGCACTCTTTGGTTCTTTTGGTAAAGCCACGTCGGTATAAAATAAAATAAATTAAATCACGACGTTTCGATCGCAACACAAGCAGGGATCCATACTCAATCATCATCAGGTGGGAAAACCACAGCAATATATATTTTTTGCTGAATATGGAGAGAGTTGCCGTGGTAAAAAAAAAATATACCTGTGGTTTTCCCACCTGATGATGATGGCTTGTGTTGCAATCGAAACGTCGTGATTTAATTTATTTAAATTTCTACCTACGTGACCTTAACCTACCTACGTGACCTACCTATGTGACCTTTTCTACCTACGTGACCTTATTTTATACCCTACGTGACTTTACCAAAAGAACCAAAGAGTATGGATCCCTGCAGTCACGAAAACTTCAAATCTAGATTAGTTTCAAATGTATTTTGTTGAACCAGGTGCGAACTCAAATCTAAATCATGTACAACAAGTTCACTCAACGTTAGATATGTCGGAGGGACGCAATGGCATTCGAATGTGCATACTTAGGGCTGCTACCAAGTTGGAACACGATCAAATAGTTAAATTAATATACAGAAGGGAAACTGAACTCGATAAGGAAAAGCATCATAGCAATGTGTCTAATGAAGAAAGTTTGTAATCATTGAGTACCACCTATGACATCTGAAGACAAGCTTAGGCAGGACATAGCACAAGGAGGGATGATAGCCTGTGGATGAGAATAATGACTGAATGGCAGTCAAAGGAGGCCTGAAAGTATGCCCACTGTGGAGATGGAGTGATACGTTTATCTGCTGTGCAAGTGATGGGGGGATTGTTGCAACGCGGAATTGTTAAAAAGGTCAGCGGTTTGGGAAGGCCTTCATCCAGCTAGTGGACTGATTGTGGATGTATTTATCTTGCTGTTATCTGGCCGCTATTCAAATATGGTTATCTGATGTTTTTACTCCAGATAACTGGAGTTATGCAAGTGAGAACTCCAGTAATCCGGGGGGAGGAGCTGTGATGAGTTATAGACATGCGTTTTGTGAAAACCAAGTGAAATCTCAGCTACCATGGATAGGTGTATCCCACATTACCCTGGATAACTAGAGATTTGTATACAGATGAGTGAGGTCTCAGCCTTACATGGCAGCTGTGAGAGAGGGATCTGCTGGCAATGCAGACACTATACGTATTGTATTAAATATTCTTACGAGTCACTATTCTTAGTTTAACATGTGGGAGGCTTTCGCGACCAATATTATTCATAATAAAGTTTTTGGGTTAGATCAATATTTATAAATGTGTCGTAGCCCTCCACCACCCGTCACGGCCAATCAGTAACAAAGTGTCAGAATAGTGAAGCCCTCCACTTGCTCCCGGTCTTTAATAGAGCAGCAGGGTGACGTCATCATTTCACTCATTCAGATGCAGTGATTTGAGGCGGAGGGGGGGTATTGTAATTATATAGTCGATTGTTAATCTGTCAATGGTTATGATTAGTAATGAGTTGTAGATGAGTAATTAGTTGTAATGTGTGTTATTGTGATTATATGCTACGTTAGTAATCAGTTAATTAGTATGTGTTTATATTATTGGTTCTTTCGGTAAAGTCACGTAGAAGGGAAACAAAATAATAAAAATATAAAAAATAAAATTCTCACGACGTTTCGACTGCAACACAAGCAATCATCATCAGGTGTAAAAAACACAACAAGAAAATTTGAAAAAAGCGGCGGTTATTTTTAACGTTAGCACCACGGAGAGAGATTTGACAGTTTGTTCAGATGGACTCGTCCATCTGACTCGTCCATCTGAACAAGCAGTCATCATCAGGTGTGAAAACCACAACAAGAAAATTTGAAATTTTTTGAAATTTGAAATTTTCTTGTTGTGGTTTTCACACTTGATGATGACTGCTTGTGTTGCAGTCGAAACGTCGTGGGAATTTTATTGTTTTATATTTTTATTATTTTATTGTTTCCCTTCTACGTGACTTTACCAAAAGAACCAAGAATATGAATCCCTGCAGTCATGAACGCTTTAAAGCAAAATTTAGTATGTGTTTCCCCTATAAGCAATTGTAATATGTATTATTTAATAATACGCTTCCAGGCCGCACTAAGCCTGTAGGTGTCAGAGCGATTAAAGTTATTTCAATTTCTCTCAATTTCAATGGATTCTCTAATTAGTCTTTGCCAGTAATAATTAGTTTTACACAACACTTCAACGTTATCAAAATCAATTGAGTGTCCTTGTTGACAAGCATGTTCTGCCACTGCCGACAGTATTCTTAGTCAACAATTATACAGTAGATTCAATAAATGGCATACTAGAGATGTGTTTTCCATAATGTAACTCAATTCTTACGATTCCTTGAAAAAAATGTAAATGACAACAAAACCCATAACAACAGAAACCCAGTTGAGATTTGTTACAATTTCGGGTCATGATTTAAAAAAAATATATATTTTTAATGTATGTACTAGTAACCCAACCGTCCATCCATTCCCTCCTAGCCGGTAAACGTATCTTGCCTTCTGAACTGTATAATCCCAATTCATCTCGATTTCTCACTTTGTTTCACAAATTCCTCTGCCCACCTTCTCCCTCCATTTGATCTCACCCACTTTCCTCCCCCCATCTCTCTCCTGTTTCTCTATCTCACCTCACCCTCGCTACTCCGCATCTCCACCTTTCCCTGTCCTGTCTAAATCTCTTGCCTCCTCTTCATAACCCTCTCTCCCACTGCTTGTCCACTTTCCCTTGCTGTCCTCTTTCCATCTTGCTCTCTTTCCTCTCCGATTCATGCCCTTCCACTCTCCCTGCCCCTCTCCATGCCGTCACTTCTATCTATTTCCCTCCATAACCACCCACTACCTCCACCCCTCTATCTCTCTCCTTCACCTGCTTTCTCCATCTCCCTCAGACCCCTTCTTTGTTCTAATATAGTATGGCAGTACGAGTATGACCGTGAGAGTATGATGATATCATAGGATGGTGTAGTTTTTCACACATTTGTATGGGATGTACATCCAGGGTGGGAGGTGGGTGGGGTAAGGTGTGACATCGGAGCAATGCAGGAATCCGGCTCGGCGCTGTGGGATACGAGTGGTTTCGCGACGCAGATGTCCGTGGTGACGTCGCTATCACACACACGGGCACATTGAGAGCCAGGCACCCAGCCAGACAGGAATCCACCCACGTCATCCAGCAGACATTCTTTTTTCTAATAAAATTGAATTGTGATATAGTACCTCTAGTAGCTATGGGCACAACAAATAATTCCAGACAACTATATCAAATTAAAATCAATTATGACACGCAGGATTCTGTCTTATTATCAGGGTAAGAATTTATTTAATCAATGTACTGTTGCATGCCTTCTTATTACCTACTAACTCCGATTTATTTGCAGTTCAGTACAATAGTGGTTAAACATTATTGCAGTTGTGTTGTTTTCGCCATTCTGCTAACCAGACAATCTGTGCCTCCTTGATACACTCTTGAGATTTGGCACAACACACCTGACCTGTATTATACATGCATGACTGTAGGTCAGACTTGCTTTTCTCATTTCCATGCATCTACATGTAATGATCAGGATGGAGATGAACGGGGGAGATGGGGCATACATGTAGATGCATTTAAGATGTGTGACATTGTCACGCGTCACACTGGTGCGTCACCATCGTGTCACACCACCGCATTGCACAAGTGTGTCACATCAGCGTGTCGCATCAGCGTTCAAACCCAATAGTTGTTTCCTGTCATGGGGTATTTCTAGTTTCAGACTCGCAGAAGTTGTCGTGAAAATACTGTATGGGAACCTGGCATCTTGTGTATTTTATATGCAAACCTAAAATAACATTTCTTACTGTAAAATACTCGTAAGAATGTGTTTACAAGTATTAAATGATCTACGATGAATTAAACTGTATAATTTAGGCAACCATTGTATTTTTTAAAATCCAAGTTAGCCTTCGTTTCCAGATAGCTGGGCGATGGTGGCGTATGCCTGCAACCACCCCCCCAATGATCGAATCGAAATCCCTCATTTTTATCGGAACATTGGGGTTTATTAGTAAGAAATCGGCATTTTGCGACCCCCACTGCCACTGTGTAGCATATCATTACGTGCCAAAGACTCTATGACATGATAGGACAATAGTCTGTAGCCTGAGTCCATAATTGGCAATAAGTAACGGCAAAGCAGCTATAAGTAACTCACAGAATTGTGCGCAGTTGCGTCTACAACAGTCCACGACTTCCCTGAAGGCATCGACACCTTCAGCGAGCGCTCTGCCGATCACAACGCGGTTCGAATTCGTCCCTCGATCGACGGCTGCGCCATCGCCGCACATGCGTCGAATAAAAATCAAGGGACAACTCCTTACTCACTAACAACTCCTCTATCATTTCTCATTGCTGGAGGGGTTGTCCCCCCCCTCCTACCTGTAAATCCTGGCTCCGCCATTGCCTGCAACCCAGCACTGTGGAAGCGAGGGTTGTTGGATCACACAAATATTGTGAAACTCCATTCCCGTCGACGTCAAGGAGGTGCCATACCCTTACTCGCCAGGCGATGGCGGTAGAGAAAATGTGGACCCCATACAGTGACACCTTGGATTGCGAGCATAATTCGTTCCGGACACGTGCTCGTAATCCAAAGCACTCGTATATCAAGGCGAATTGCCCCATAGGAAATAATGGAAACTCAGACGATTCGTTCCACAACCCAAAAATACTGTATTCATATGAAAATGATTAATACAAAATACCTTTTTGCATTTTTATTATTTCAATTTAATATAAAGTAATAAAATTTATTAATTACATTTAATCGTGGCTGGTGTGAGGGAGACGAGGGCGAGGAGGAGGGTTATTGTGTACATTTACTAAAGAACAGTCACTACACATGGACACAAAATAAAAAAACGCTTTACACACACGTGGTCACAACACTATAGTAAACAGTATACACGTGGTCACAACACTATAGTACTATAGTCAACAGTATACACGTGGTCACACCACTTTAGTACTGTAGTAAACAGTATACACGTGGTCACAACACTATAGTACTGTAGTAAACAGTATACACGTGGTCACAACACTATAGTACTGTAGTAAACAGTATACACGTGGTCACAACACTATAGTGCTGTAGTAAACAGTATACACGTGGTCACAACACTATAGTACTATAGTAAACAGTACACACGTGGTCACAACACTATAGTACTGTAGTAAACAGTATACACGTGGTCACAACACTATAGTACTATAGTAAACAGTATACACGTGGTCACAACACTATAGTACTGTAGTAAACAGTATACACGTGGTCACAACACTATACTGTAGTAAACAGTATACACGTGGTCACAACACTATAGTACTGTAGTAAACTATACACGTGGTCACACCACTATAGTACTATAGTAAACAGTATACACGTGGTCACAACACTATAGTACTGTAGTAAACAGTATACACGTGGTCACAACACTATACTACTATAGTAAACAGTATACACGTGGTCACAACACTATAGTACTGTAGTAAACAGTATACGCTCGCACGGATGTTGACTATACGAGTGAGGCACGCCGACTGAGACCGAGTATGGGAGATGATTACCCACAATCCCGCAGCGAGAGAGAGAAGAACCATTGGCTAAGTTGTGATCACGTGACGCTCGGCAGACAAAGCGTATTCTGTACACGTACTGCTCGTATTGCAAGACCTCGCTCGTTTATCAAATTATTATTTATTTTAAAAAATTGCTCGTCTTGCAAAACACTCGCAGACCAAGTTACTCGCAATCCAAGGTTTCACTGTATTTTCTATATGTATTGGATGGAATATCGCCCCCTTGTTTGGGTTTTCTCCGCGTGCTCATTAATTTTGGACGTTGGTGCTGGCTCGCCACGTGGCTGTCTTTTCCTCACACTGCTGAGTCGTTCTTTCTCCTCGAAAGCGAGCTCATACCGTTGTTGCGCATTATACCTTGAAATTATTATACCGTGAGAGCCATATTTAAATTAATTTTACTAGCTAATCAAATGAACATAAATGTGTGCTTTTGTAATGTTTCCACATTTTTAATAGTTAGTTTCCTTCTAGGCCTCACAGACAGGGAAGCCATGATGGGGTGAAGACCAAGGATGACAGTCCTGCAATCAACCCAGTCATCCAAGGACAAATTAAACAAGGTATTAACTTGAAATATTCCCGTGGCCTTCAAATACATCTTACGGTTATTGTCAGCCGTGTCAAAAGAATAAGAATTATTGACATTGACAAATAGCAAACTACCATTAATTGTGCAGTTTTATCATATGGAGAACTCATGCTTAGAATGGCACCGAAAGGAGGGGGCATGGGTCAGAAGCATCATTATTGACTCATGAAAACTAAGTGAGCGTCCTGAACAAGGATGTTCGGCTAGAGCAGGAGTGGGGAACCTTTTTTCTGCCAAGGGCCATTTGGATATTTATATAACATCATTCGCGGTCCATACAAAATGATCAACTTAAAAATTAGCCCGTTATATTTGGTCAAACATTTGATTAACTCACCCCTAATGCAATGGGCTGGAACTGCTTCTCTTTGGTGAGGCGTGTGGTGACGTTAAGCTGGTATTGACGATGTTGCTACTCGCGACTACTTTTCCAGGTTTGCTCCTAGATTTATTGAATTTCGAGTCCCGCCTGCGGTTGCCTTGGCAGGGCCAGACCAAATGATTTCGGGGGCCTTATACGGCCCGCGGGCCGGACGTTCCCCACCCCTGGGCTAAAGGATGACGGCCAATGGACAAGACTGGTGATTGACACCAAACAGAGGAAAAAAAAGGGCCTCAGAGGATGACAGTTTCAGAGGCTGCGAGATCAGTTTGTGCAAGATTGCGATGGTTTCTGTCATTTTAAGACCATGAGGGAGTGATAAAATGGGGAGGCCTTCATCCAGTAGTGGATATGAAATGTCTATTTATGGTCTGTTTATACCTAAGCTTAGGCTGCTCCCATATTAATGTACTTTTGAGTTTGACAGATGAAATGATATAGGAATAGGTTTTACCCTTTTAACTGGCACAAAAACTGACACCTTTATTCAAGGCATCATGTTTGCAATAACCACAACACAAGCAGTCAAAATGCAAACAAAAGAGACAACTCTGATAATAATATGCACTGTCCTTGAATTTGATTGGTCCACACCCGAGACGGTGTCAGTTTTTGTGCCAGTTAAAAGGGTAAACCCTATTCCTATATCTTGTTTCTGGCAAAGGAGGTCTCATAATGTAAATGCTCACTCCGAGCCCTCAATACTCTGATAGTGCGCTGTTTTTGAGTTGTACGCCTTTTGGCGTCTTCTGGTCCAACACCAATGGAGACTAGGCTCTAAGAAAAGCCGTCTCGGGTGTGGACCAATCAAATTCAAGGACAGTGCATATTATTATCAGAGTTGTCTCTTTTGTTTGCATTTTGACTGCTTGGGTTGTGGTTATTGCAAACATGATGCCTTGAATAAAGGTGTCAGTTTTTGTGCCAGTTAAAAGGGTAAAACCTATTCCTATATCTTGTTTCTGGCAAAGGAGGTCTCATAATGTAAGATGAAATGATATTTACATGTGGATACACATGCTGAAGGAGCGACTGTAGCCCAATGGCTATCAGAGACTGCATTTGCAATCCGGATAGATTCCATTTTCCAGTGCGGCAGTTGAAACAATGTGGGAAAGTTTCTCAATTCCTCCCTCGTGTGTCTGCCAGCGGCAGTACAAATGGATTCGGCACAGTCGAAGAGTAGGCCGCATGTGGAGGCCATTTTGCCCACAGTGACTTTAGCAAACAATTGCAGTGCTGCACCGCTACATTCTTATACACGCTTACCTGTGACCAAGTAGTTTTATTCCAGGCGGATGAATGCGTAAACATGTGCTTTTTCGGTGTGGACGCTAGAATCCGCAGTCCCTACATATGACTCGCGCATTTGTACAAAATGTTTTTTTGTTCCACTTGTATCTTGCTGAATTATGTTATACATGTACTAGTTGTCTACAATTATTTATTCCGTTGATTATGCATTCCTTTTTTTTACTTTTTTTTGTTACTTTCTGAAGCAGCTTTTAAATTAAATTTGTAAACATCACAGTTCTACAAATGAAAGGGTTTCACATGATGACCAGTAAATGTAGTGTTCAACATTTTATGGAAAAAAGTGCCGTTGGTGAGCTTGGAGAAGCATAAATCAAATAATCTCCTTCACTGATGTATTTCCACATAGAAATACAAGATAATAATATTTAGCTTTATATTACACCATCGTTCGTGCAAATTGCATCTCGCATTCGTTGAGGAATCACGGAGAAATGGGAAGGCGGCCAGGCGGTCAGCGGGCACCAACAATTGCCCAAGCTCTGCAGTCCTCAATATATTGAGATAACATCAGCCAATTAATAAGTGCTTATACATATGGGAGGAAACGGCAGCACCTGCAGAAACCCTCGCATACAAGGGGTGGCAATATTCCATCCCATACAAACGGCACATGATATTAGCCTGCACTTTGCTTCATAGCCAGCCAGGGAATTGCACCTCAATGCCCATGGTGCTGGATTACAGGCATACATAGCTAACACTGCTCAGATTATAGTTTGCCGATTGGCCCTCTACACTTACAGTGAGGGAAACAAGTATTTGATCCCCTGCTGATTTTGTACGTTTGCCCACTGACAAAGAAATGATCAGTCTATAATTTTAATGTTAGGTTTATTTGAACAGTGAGAGACAGAATAACAACAAAAAAATCCAGAAAAACGCATGTCAAAAATGTTATAAATTGATTTGCATTTTAATGAAGGAAATAAGTATTTGACCCCTCTGCAAAACATGACTTAGTACTTGGTGGCAAAACCCTTGTTGGCAATCACAGAGGTCAGACGTTTCTTGTAGTTGGCCACCAGGTTTGCACACATCTCAGGAGGGATTTTGTTCCACTCCTCTTTGCAGATCTTCTCCAAGTCATTAAGGTTTCGAGGCTGACGTTTGGCAACTCGAATCTTCAGCTCTCTCCACAGATTTTCTATGGGATTAAGGTCTGGAGACTGGCTAGGCCACTCCAGGACCTTAATGTGCTTCTTCTTGAGCCACTCCTTTGTTGCCTTGGCCGTGTGTTTTGGGTCATTGTCATGCTGGAATACCCATCCACGACCCATTTTCAATGCCCTGGCTGAGGGAAGGAGGTTCTCACCCAAGATTTGACGGTACATGGCCCCGTCCATCGTCCCTTTGATGCGGTGAAGTTGTCCTGTCCCCTTAGCAGAAAACACCCCCAAAGCATAATGTTTCCACCTCCATGTTTGATGGTTGGGATGGTGTTCTTGGGGTCATAGGCAGCATTCCTCCTCCTCCAAACACGGCGAGTTGAGTTGATGCCAAAGAGCTCCATTTTGGTCTCATCTGACCACAACACTTTCACCCAGTTGTCCTCTGAATCATTCAGATGTTCATTGGCAAACTTCAGACGGGCATGTATATGTGCTTTCTTGAGCAGGGGGACCTTGCGGGCGCTGCAGGATTTCAGTCCTTCACGGCGTAGTGTGTTACCAATTGTTTTCTTGGTGACTATGGTCCCAGCTGCCTTGAGATCATTGACAAGATCCTCCCATGTAGTTCTGGGCTGATTCCTCACCGTTCTCATGATCATTGCAACTCCACGAGGTGAGATCTTGCATGGAGCCCCAGGCCGAGGGAGATTGACAGTTCTTTTGTGTTTCTTCCATTTGCGAATAATCGCACCAACTGTTGTCACCTTCTCACCAAGCTGCTTGGCAATGGTCTTGTAGCCCATTCCAGCCTTGTGTAGGTCTATAATCTTGTCCCTGACATCCTTGGAGAGCTCTTTGGTCTTGGCCATGGTGGAGAGTTTGGAATCTGATTGATTGATTGCTTCTGTGGACAGGTGTCTTTTATACAGGTAACAAGCTGAGATTAGGAGCACTCCCTTTAAGAGTGTGCTCCTAATCTCAGCTCGTTACCTGTATAAAAGACACCTGGGAGCCAGAAATCTTTCTGATTGAGAGGGGGTCAAATACTTATTTCCCTCATTAAAATGCAAATCAATTTATAACATTTCTGACATGCGTTTTTCTCGATTTTTGTGTTGTTATTCTGTCTCTCACTGTTCAAATAAACCTACAATTAAAATTATAGACTGATCATTTCTTTGCCAGTGGGCAAACGTACAAAATCAGCAGGGGATCAAATACTTTTTTCCCTCACTGTATATTAACCAGCAGCATTTGTTTAAATGTGCAAACTCTTTACCAAATTTTTTTCTGGTAAGTTCCACCTCTCTATACTATTGGCAGGAGGTCTGGAATGCCGGTAGGCCAATATCCTCAAAGGTACTTTTGAATGTTGACATATGGAATGTAAGGTTATTTCGTGTATAACCCAGAACCTTTGCAATCACACTTGGCATCTTCCCTTCATTCTGGATTGACTCTGCATGCTGCTGCTTCTCTTTGGCGGAACCTAACAATGTCATTGCTGGTCGCCATAATTTTAGAGGAATTACAAGCCTTTAGACAAATTACAAGCACCTGAGCTTACGTGATATTCTACAAGACGAAGTCGTTATTTGCCCAAGCCCTATTTTTGTAAATCTTTCATAAATTAATGTCAGTGATTGAGCGTGTTGGTGATGATGACATTAAGTATGGGGAGAGGGTGAAGGGAATAAAAGATGGGTACACATCAGTAGGTGCAGTATAGTGAGAGAGGTAATTGAGCGGGATTGATTTGACCTTCCTTACACATCCCTGAATTTGGTCATTACTGCCCGAGTAAACAGTCTACCAGATCGACAGTAAATGTGAAAAACCTGCCACGTTTCTGCTAACGTTCGCTATCTAAATCATGTGCTATATTTTGTCTGCTGAATATCTTTCTTCCTGCATCTTTGCAAGCTGATCTTTCTGAGGCTTCAAACTATGGCTTGGCAGTGCATAGCACCGTGCCAGTCAAAGAAGGTATTTTGTTTGCATGTGCTCTTTGGCCTCTGCACCTTTTTTTTTGTGTATAATTGTCTGCACTGTACTTTCTGAATGAATAAACTGGCATGCGTATTGTGCTTTATTATGTAACGGAATCTCTCGGAGCACTGATCCCCCTGTTGGCAGCTGTCCCTCTGTTTGGAACAATTATTCTTGCCAGTGGAGGGCGATGATTGATTTCTATGCAAGTAATTTGTGGGTCATTTTGCTGATTTTGTACCGCAATTGACATTGCAGATGTTGATGTTGTGTAGAACAGAGGGAGAAACATACAAACGCCACGCAGAAAGCTGTCCCAGTTGGGAATCGAACCCAAGCCATTCTTTCTGACCCTTCTGCCCCACCATAAATTGGCAGCAGTGATTATGTACTTAGGGCAGTTATTGTAACTTTGAGCGAGATAAAAATTAAAATAATTTTTGAAAGATGCATTTCACTACGTCTAAAAAAACAGAACACTCAAGTTGATACCTACTATGACATGCATTGGAAACAGAAGATGGAACAAAAAGCTAAAATATCTACAAATACGTTTTGGAGAGACGCATGCCCTGTGATGACATTGAGAGAGAATATCAAGTTGAGCATAATGACATAATTAAACTGGAATGAAAAGTTCATGGGCTTTGGCAGGACACGCTCGAAGGAATTGATGGCTGATGTTCAAGATTAACGAACGTCTCTGATAGGATGTCCATTGAGGATATTGAGTAATAGGTTTGTGTGCAATTGACAAGTAAATTATTACATTCCAGGGTGATTAGGTGGTGGTGGCATTTTAAGGCCTTAATCTAAAAGTGTATAGAGCATGGCTGACGATTATTGACACGTTTTTTTTCAAGGTTATTTTAAATAGGGTACACAAATAGCACCCCCCACATTGGCACGGATGATAGTAATAATGTATCAGGCCTTTTTGTAACGTCTTACTACAAGCATTGAATGTGTTCACTCAGATCAGTTATCAGCATATTGGAGGATAGTCCTACATCCTTGTTTTTGGTGTAATATATTGAGATTTAGACTACCATCCCACTGGAGCCCTGAATTAATATCACTTCGGTTTGCTGTAGAGACGTATCCCCATCATGGTAATGTGGAAATTATACCGTTTAGTCCAAGACTTATTTGTATAAAGGGGCACAGGTTTATGTTTACTGTAAGTGACAGTATCTGACATGTTTGAGGACAATCGACAAACGTTAATGCCTTGTGTGATTTGGTCAGATACAAATGCGTTTTGATGATGGTGCGTGACTTTAGGGTGGAGTCAACTGGCTGCCCTGCACTGTGTAATGTTGCCAGAACTACTGGGGCCTGGGAGTTTCAGGCCACCACTGCTTGAAATGCTGGTGAATAGGTGGCAAGATCGCTGTTTGGAGGTAAGCGACTGCTTTAGACAAGTAGCTTGAAACAACGGATGGATTGTTTTGACGAGTGACCGAGAAATTCTCACTACAATATTATGAATTGTCACGGTAACAATTAATTTCACACTTGCAGAATCTTGATACAAAGTAAATGTAAACATTGTTTTTGAACAATGTGTGCTATAGAGCCATGTATTGTTGCAGCTTTTTTGATGGCGCCGCTTTTGACTACAATATTGTTGTAACATGGAAACAATAAAATGTCATTGTTAATTGCAGCTGTACGTTATCAGAATCGAAATCTTCATTTATATTGGAGGAATCCATTGAGCGATTAAGCTGTTGTTCACGGATGTCCAAAATCGAAATCTTCATTTAGATTGGAGGAATCCATTGAGCGATTAAGCTTGTTGTTCACGGATTTCCAGTGTGGGTGCATCAAAATATACATCGTATACCATATTGGGGGAAGCTTAGAATGGCTGGTTGAACGAGAGACTTTAACACCCGTGTAGAGAAGTTCCCAGGACGCACTCGGAGACGACGTGAAGGATTAAGGGCTTTCTCCGTAAGTTTATTACAGTATTTAACGATACACAAGGGTGAACAACTTCCCAGGGGTTAGGGGTCCCGGGCTAGGTCCCACTACTTCCCGACACAGCCGGCTGCCCCGTGCTGCCTCCTCTGCGCCGGCCGTGGGTTCATCCAACGCGGCCGACCCTCGACTCCAACTACGACCCCGTTTACATCACGGGCTCTCACACTTATATATCCCTGCGGGAACATGACGACATCCTGCCCCCAGGCGCGTATGACGTCACTTCCCGTGACGCCATCGCCCCCGGAGGCGAGCGTGACGTCATGTCCGCAACCACCCCTCTACACCTGTAAAAAGTTCTGTGGACAAGTAGAAGCCAACAAACTTAATTTTGGCAGTAGCAAGTTACTATTATTTACACATACTTGTGGAAGCGCTAAACGGCCTGTGTCCTGTCCTCTTGGCTATGGTGACTCCATGCTGAAGATATAGATTTTTATCCTCAATGTCACCTCAGGCCTCCCCATTACTGCTTTCATGCCCCCATTGGCATATAGATGCCACCAATATCTTATAATGTAGGTGACACTGTCATTTTATTTCATGATTAGCTGAACACTTTGTAAGTAAAGTAAATTCCCGTTTAACGCGCATTCACACGCCACATTTTCGCTTGAACGCAGTTTTCTGTTGTGGAATGTTTTTTTGCTTAACTCGCACGGTGCCCGCTATAACGCGAGTCTAGTGCGTGGCGGGACTACTTTTCTGAGTGGCAACGGGTGCTGGAAGCATTGTTCGGTGATGCTGGGAGCTGGTACTTCACGCGTGCCTTCATTTTCCTCGCTCTTTGTTCCAGCATCTTTTGCGTGCGTAGCGTCATCCCACGCGCTTATCATTTTCACTTGCCGTATCTCTTGCTGTCACGCGCAGCATATTTACAGGAATGCTGTATGAACGCATCACATAAAAAAAAAATTAACAAGTGTATTGTACTGTGAAATGAAAACGAGAAAATGATGGGCTGGAACGTCACCCCCGACGTTATCATTATTACCTATGGGAAAATGACTCCCGCTTCTTGTGAATTCACTTTCCGTGGCAATTTTCAGAAATACAACACCCGCATTAAGCGAGGACTTGCTGGTTATCACTTTGCAATGTGGTGTAATGGTCAGCTTTGTAATTTATTAAAGGAGTTATGTTTTGATTTAAAGCTTTCGTGACTGCAGTAATTCATATTCTTAGTGACTTTACCGAAAGAACTAAGATTATGAGTTATGTTTTATTTGGATAAATATTTCTTCTGAAATGTGACATGTTCTGCATTCATAATGTTGTGCATCATTGCTCATGGGAATGTATAAAAACATTTAACAGTCTGCAATTATTTTTTTACCAAAAAAAAGTGTTTAAGTCACTTGAGAAATATGACGAGTAGGTACGCAAATGCATTACTTGAACTATCAAATTTTAGTTGTTTACGGTGTAAATGCTTCATTAATACGTCCATAATGTATTCATATAAAGTACCCTCATTGATTTTGCTCCTGCTTTTGTTTGTGTAAAAAAATATCGGTCAACTTTTACATTTTATAAATGTTTTCAATTTTTTTGCCCTTTGTAGTATGTATGTATATATTTTTGTGTGTATGCCAAAGGCATATTTTTTACTGCACAATTATTCAAATCCATATTGTTTTAGAAACCGTAGCTTAAACGTATCTAACGTCTCTGGGTTTTGTGCAGGTTCGAGAGGCGGCCCAGGCACTTTTATTGGCAGAGCTTCGTCGTATTGGTCATGAAGGGAGGAAGGAGGCAATTGATACATGGGCCCCGCACCTTCCGCAGTATGCCGAGAACGTTCACTCGCGTGAGTATGATTCACACAATGGGGAAAATATCGTTCCTTCTCGCTGGACTGCATCTCAACTTCCTTCCCACGTTTTTGTCATTTAACAGCAGGACAAACGGGAGAAGTTGCCCCAAGTGCACTGAATAGCCCCGAGCCTCTGGGAATGGATCTCAAGGGGATTGAGGAAGAACCCGACCTCGGTGATGAAGAAATATCTGCAGGTAATATTCACCCGATGGCAACATTGCAGCTGACAATTAACACTGGGGTTAATTGTGTCATTGTCACGCGGTAATTTTCCATGAGACATTTTCACTGCCCACATTGCTCTTCTTAACGCATGCAAGACACACCTTTTTGTTTAAATTCTGATTGAAATTAGTTTTGTTGGTCATGTAAAAAAAATGCACTGATTGGCCGATGGGGTCGTGCGGTAATTATCAATCAGATAAGATTAATCTTCGTAAAGAAAAGTATACTTGGGCTATTGTCGTTGCATTTAATTCTTTGAATTTGATTCAAATGTAGTTTTGTTCATAGGCCCGACCAGGTGTTCTTGCCTTGCTTTAGATCCCCTACTTTCTCCCCCCAGGCCAGACCATCCAGGCGAGAGAGGAGGGCTGAGGTCAGGCCTCCTATCATTCGCTGTATTAATTATGAGAAACATAGGCAAGAGTTAAGTTTTAAATGGCTCGGTAATCCACAAAAGTGCTGCAAAACAGAAAAAAATAAAATAAATTTTAGCTGAAACATTTCAGCAAAAATGTTCTTGCTGTAGTTTTCACACCTGATGATGATTGCTTGTGTTGCAATCGAAACGTCGTGATTACATTTATTGTATTTTCTACCTACTACGTGACTTTACCGAAAGAACCAAAGAGTATAGATCCCCTGCAGTCACGAAAACTTCAAATCTAGAAACAAAAAATAAAGTTATGTTTAGCGGGAAGTTGCACAACAAGATTTGCAACAAATATGAGAAGTAAATAACACAAAATAAGAAAAATATAAGAAAAATTACTTCGGAGTGTTAATTACACCAGACAGATTCTTTTATATTCTTGGTTCTTTCGGTAAAATCACGTAGAAGGGAAACAATAAAATGATAAAAATATAAAAATACAATTCTCACGACGTTTCGACTGCAACACAAGCAATCATCATCAGGTGTTTAGGTTTTCACAGATGTTGTGGTTTTCACACCTGATGATGATTGCTTGTGTTGCAGTCGAAACGTCGTGAGAATTTTATTGTTATATATTTTTATTATTTAATTGTTTCCCTTCTACGTGACTTTACCGAAAGAACCAATAATATGAATCCCTGCAGTAACGAAAGCTTTAAATCAAAATTATTTTATATTTTTATCATTAAACAACTCCTAGCTGTCGTGCATGTCAAAAGTTGCGAAGGTGCAAACCTGCTTCATTTTCATTTCGCCATTGCTGCACACATGAAATAGAACACCATAAACATCATTGTCGTGAGCAACGTTATTGCAGTTTAACACGTGGGAGGCTTTCGCGACCACTATTACGCATAATAAAACGTTGTTTGGGGTTCGATCGCGTTATTTATAAATGTGTCGTAACCCTCCACCACCCGACACGGCCAAACAGTAAAAAAGTGTCACGTTGACAAAATACAAAATAGTTCACTACTTTAACCCACCGGTGCGTTGATGAGTGAATCCCGCAACATTTACAGTTTTTTGAGCACGACGTTTCGCTGGTAATTACATCCAGCATCATCGGGCAATTCGCCAGAATGGTGAAGCCCTCCACTTGCTCCCGGTCTTAAATAGAGCAGCAGAGTGACGTCATCATTTAACTCATTCAGACTGGATCTTTAACGTAGTGTATTTGTTTTAATATACCTGTATTGTATGTCACGTAAACAAATGATGAACTTCAATCCCTATATGATCTCTCAATTACAATTTATTTGTGATCCATTAACCCCATGTCTCTGTATTAGCCATCGACCCCATTCCTTACATGATCCAGCAACCTGGGTCATACTACGAGCCACAAACCCCAATCTCTACAAAATCCATAAACTCAAATCTTTTCTTGATCTACCACCTGTAATGGATGTGAACCCCCCCCCTCCCCTAATATTTTTGTTATCCACAAATACAAATGTTCAGGCCCCTTTGTCTTGAGAATAAATGTGAGAACTGTGAGAATAAATGTTCATGAAATACTTACACGGAGTTTATTGAACCGCTGATTGTTAAATTAATTTCAAATTTCTAATTATTTTGACTGCGATTGCACAATAATGCAACAATTATTGTGTTATAACAAGAATAAAAACATCCACATTTAGCTAAAAAAATGTTTAAAAGTAGGTTCTCGAGGCGAACATGCGGCAGTCTTTGACAGTTGCGGTGTGAACGGCAAAGTGATGCCGCACTCATGCAGGATGACATTACACTGCAAGTGGGTGCGTGCATTTGCAGGTGATAATCATACTCTGGATTACGCCCGTCTCTTATATGATTTGATTAATTACACTCGCGGTTTTGCCATGCCTCCTGCTATGATAAATATACTCGATAAGCAGATCGGGGACCAATAAGCCAAATTATCTGAATTAATTTAGTCAAAGGTAAAACATTTTAATGTAGTCTGCGTGAACTGCACATCATTAGCTTGCAAATGAAACTCGGTCATTGGGATTGGTCGAGCGGTCGAGGAGGATATACGCACAATGATATTATCCACTTCTGTAGATTTATTTATTTTAAACAAGAACATGTCACATGGGTAATTTTATCCATGCTATCAAAATGTCACATCTGCAAGTAATTTTGTTTGCATATTTATGTTTTTAAACAGGTTTTCCTTCAAATGCAAGTTCTCAATTGCGAAAAGCACCAGCATCATATGAGGAGCGGAGAAAGCAGGCAACTGCAATTGTATTGCTGGGTGTGATTGGAGCAGAATTTGGAGCTGAAATTGAGCCTGCTAAGCTTCAACCAGGCAAAGATTCACGGCCAAGGTCCAGCAGCCAAGTTCCTGAAGGCTTTGGGCCTACCACGTCAGGAACAAACAACTCCCTCGCTCGTCATACATGTATGTTGTAGTTACATGCTCCTAGTTTAGTTGCATAAAGGATGAGTGGTTAATGTTACCTATATAGGTTTCAGCAAAATGTAGTTCTGCACACTGTAGTTTCATAATTTAGAGGAATAACTACCCTGGCGGGTATTCATAATATAACTCCTGTTATCCAAAGGGTACAACATATTGGATAATTATTTGGAGTAATTTGCTTTGCGGCGACTCTTATCCGGGGAAATATCGTGATTAATAATGAAGCTGATTCACTGTGCATTATGGGTAAAGTAGTGGATAATATGAAGAAATCGAGTCAGTTTCTTCATGGACCCTACAGCTGCCGTGGATGTGGGGTAATAAGGCTGCAGATAAGAGGAGTTCTGTATTTAAAGCTTGTTTGCCTCATTTTATAAATGTGTATTTGCATTACACACAATAGAATACGTCTACTCAAATAGTAAATACTAGTTTAAGATGACAGGAAGCATAACCTGCACTATAGTTTGTTTTTCTTTGACATATCATTGCATTATTATCAGTGATCTGCTAATAATGCATTATTAGCAGTGATCTAATAATGCAATCACAACATCTTAAGCACTACAGTCACTTAACCCCCAAGTACAATGTTATATACTGCATGTATTATGAATAGCCATATATTCAAGGCGAATATTTGAAGGGACCTAATAGCAGAGCGCATCACAGATTTTTGTGAGGATTCCTTCAAATGATGATACACACGTTGAACCTGCATATTCTCCTTGGGCGTTTGTAAGGAAATAAAGTTAGCTGCCTGAAAATCCAAAATGGCTGCCAAATTCTCCCGTGAACGTCCATTTTCTGCACATAACTTAATAAAGTCCGATATGAACACGATGTAAAATAAGTGCTGTTTGGCATGATCAATGTCATATGTAGTATACTGCTCGTGAGTAGGTTTATGGGTGGAGAAGTCTGCCGCATCCTCTGCATGGACTACCAGCACTGGTGCTCAATTCTCATCACAGCTCTCACCTATGGCTCTTGAGTCTTTGGAACAAGGTGCTCATGATTTATAGCAATAACGCAGATGTTGTAGTTACAGCTCTTATTAGTTCTGTTATTTCTTGAGGAGCTTTACCTTGAGAAATGATTCCCAAGGGCTTCTAATACCGAGAACATCTTCAAAGTAACAGGACCAATTGTTGGAATTAGTGGACTTTCTCACTTTACAATTTCATACATTTTCATCTTACTGCTGTGCTGTCATTCTGGAATGATACCTCAGTCATTTTTCTATTCAGAAAAGTGATGAAAAATTACTTGAAGAACTATAGACCGATTAGCCACTTACAAAAAAGGTTTCCCTAGCATTGGCCAAAAACATACTTTTTATATAAGCCAGGAAAAGTCCAATGAATGTCATCTGCAGCCATTTTTTACTCAACAAAAGTATATATGGATTAGAGGTAGCCATCAGAGCTCTCTCAGACTCGGGCCGAAAACATATTAAGAATAATCAACAAAACTACTTACAAAAATAGAACGGCCACGTTGAGGTTACATGAAGAAATGCTAAAATTAATATGAAAAGGAAAATCAGACGACCATAATAGAGGTGTTTTTGGGTGAGATCGTGTAACCCAAAAAAACGCTGTTATGGATGATATTGGTCGTGAAAGCCTACGTGTTAAACCAAAAAATCAGACAAGTTGACACACTTTCTTCAAAGTTGTTTACAGCGAGATGAGAAGTCAATGGCTATTAATGGGGTTCCTGATTCTTTATCACATTTGAGGTAGATGATGAGAATATGGAGTTCGTAGATGATTGTATTTGCCGATTTTTTTTTATGGACTGCATAATCCATTTGAAAAGTAGAAGCCATGAGCTTCCATTGCTAAAACATTTATTTGGATATGGTCAAGGAAAGCAGCTCATCATAAAAAAGAATCACACCTCTTCAGCACTGCCTTCTGCCGGCATCCACCTTTGGCTAGCGATCAAACAAAGATGGTCACTGCACCGCGCGCTTTCAGTGTTTCTGTGGCCATCTGGAACGCTCTTCTGATATTCAGAAGGCACTGGTGCTATGGACTTTAAAGTTTCGATTGAAAACTAATTTTCTTAGAACTGCTTTTTCGTATATAGTTGTTGTCCTTCCCCCACATCTGATTAGCACGGTTGGCTACATATAAATTTGCCAGAAAATTATAAGTTCAACAAAGTATTCAAATATTTAGTTACAAAAGCCTTTCTTTTCAAGAAAGTTACGTATCGCTCGAGTCCAAAGAGTTTTGGGTTGGACGCCTTTTACCATCATCTGGTCTAACACCGTTTTGAGACGAGGCTCAAAAGAAAGCTGTCTCTGGTGTCGACCAATCAGTTTCAAGGACAATCCATATATTATCTGAGTGTTTTTTGTTTGCATTCTGACCACAAGTATTGTGGTTAATGCAGACATGATTCCTTGTAAAAGGTTTCAGTTTGGTGTTGTAACATCTTAACACCTGTTTTGTTGCCAGAAAAAAGGGGAAAACCTATTCTCATATTTACATAGAATGTTACAGCCAAATGAATCGTCTCATTGTGCCTGGTTATGTTCTTGTAGGTAAGGCGTTGACTCATCTACTAAAACCAGCGAACATGAAGCTGTCTGCACACACGCCTATCAGACGTGCAGCTATCGACCTGATCGGCCGTGGCTTTACTGTGTGGGAGCCATACATGGATGTGTCAGCTGTTCTTCTCGGTCTGCTGGAGCTTAGTGCAGATAGTGAAAAGCATCTTGGCAAGTAAGTAATTTTTGGTTATTTCCCCAGTTGTGGGTGTTACTTTTTTTTTCAATTTGGAAGTACAACTTGTACTTAGCGGTGCTCCGTGGCAGTTGTTCTCAGCCGGTGGTCCGCACATCACCCCCAGGGGACATGCGAGACTGTTCCACGTCATGGTGGTGGTCGCAGGATACTGTCACTTCGGGTCCCGAGGCAGTGCTGCTGTATATGCATGTGCGTATATGGAACAAGCTTGTTTGCCCGTCCAAGGACGGGTGTATATTGCAGTAAATCTGAAATATTCATTAGAAAAAATGTTCAGCTCATGATTATTGATGAGGGGGGTGGGGGTGGGTGTTCCCCCCATGTGGAGTGACGCCACCCCCTCATGGTTAAAGGGGAGGGGTGCGGCATGTGGAGTGACGTCATCTCTCATTATTAATGAGGGGGGTGCCCCATGTGGAGTGACGTCACGCGCGGGATACACATTCTTGGCTCACTATATTAGTAATTTTGTGGACCCATACACCTGGGACGCTTTGGCCTTCCACCCGTTCTGCTAGGGCCCTTTTCCTTCAGTTTTATTTTACAAATGCACAAAGCAATTCCTCGATACTGTCACAATATTTATTTTCTTCCATATCTCACTGCTTTCTGGTGAATGCAAGTGACTGATGAAACTGCAGTAATTTGTTTAAATATGAATCTGTAAATATCTAGTGAAGTATTCTATTGTTAACTAAATTTCGTTGATGTTAATTGCATGTAAATTGTAATTCTCATGTGTTAAACAATTATTGTATTATTTGCAGTATTGTGTATGGTGGGAGGGGTACCCAATGGATCTGGTACACGACAAGCAAAATGTTGGGAACCACTAGTCTGTGGCATAAACTGATATAAACACTATTTTAGACTTATGATTATTGTCATTAATTAATGTATGTCGCTGTGTTTTCTGGTTTCCCACCAGCGCAATGAGTGGATTTCCACTGACAGCAGCTGCAGACACTTGCAGATCAGCACGGCATGCCCTGTCCCTCATAGCCACAGCACGGCCTCCAGCTTTTATCACCACCATTGCCAGGGAGGTAAGCTGTTGACCCTTGTATTCATCACCATTATGCTTTTAGCGCATATTATAAGTGTCTCCATCTTACTATAACCTAATTAACAAGCATGTTTCATTTTTTCACAAGCCATTGCCTGAATATGTGATAAATAATGCATACAAATCATTGGTAGAAAATATCTGTATTTTAATTACTGCACCCGAGTCTTAATATAATATACCATGAGTTTTCACTGAGATCAAAACACAATCTTCATGGGGTGCATCATAAGGTGCATCTTGCTGTGCAGAATATCGGATGGTTTGTGTTTATTTATATATTAATTTTTATGTATATAAACCACTGTAAACTCATATTCTTGGTTCTTTCGGTAAAGTCACCACGTAGAAGGGAAACAATAAAATAATAAAAATATAAAACAATAAAATTCTCACGACGTTTCGACTGCAACACAAGCTTGTCCAAAAATCTCCATGTTGCATTACTGCTGTATAAAGCAACACTCCCCCGTTTTAAATGTGTTAAAGTTAGCTGAATGTTGTCAGTTAGAACATGTTATATTGAATTAATTTTAATTCCAAAAACAATTTTTATTCCTCTATTACTGCAGCAAATCTAAGCCCAGGCCTCTTCCATCCATGGCAATTTTTATGCTTAACAACCTAAGTCGAAGGGTTAACACATTAGCTGCCTGCTGCCCGTCTGTCCATTTGTGTGGGGCTAGGGGCTCTATATCTCTCGGAAAGACATAAATAAGGCAGATAGTTCATAGTTCATTTAGTTCATAGTTCATTTATTTGGTATAACCCTGTGAGCCATTCGGCTCTTGAATCGGGTGCAACCGCAACAAACAAAAACATGAACAAGAAAACATCTTAAAGTGATTACGTGACTGTGCAAACATAAAATCCAGGAAAAAAATATCAAAGATGATCAGCTAAGCAGCACCACAGCCCCGCAAAATTTGTAACAACGTCACGCAGTACAGTAAAACCTTGGATTGCGAGCATAATTCGTTCCGGAAACGTGTTTGTAATCCAAAGCACTCGTATATCAAAGCACTCGTATATCAGTTGTGATCACGTGATGCTCGGCAGTACAAAGCGTATACGTACTACTCGTATTGCAAGACCCTCGCTCGTTTATCAAATTAATATTTACTTAAACATTTTGCTCGTCTTGCAAAACACTCGCAGACCAAGTTACTCGCAATCCAAGGTTTTACTGTATATTCAAATCTTACGGTTGGTAAATTCGCGGTTGGAAAGGGATTACTGTAATGATATTTAAATATAAATCTTTTTTTTTAATATACACAAGAAATCACTTAAATGTTAATTGTTATTTTAAAAAAAAAATGTTTGATTGACAACTACAATGGAATATCTGTTTGAACCATTCTTAATATTTTATTGTAAAATGTTATCGTGTATATATTGTATATTTTGATAATGTCCTTTGTCCAAGAAAGCCTGAGAGTGTCTAAAGATTCCCTTATCAGGAGGGTGCTCTGATACATTACTTGGCATATTGCTTCAAATTCACTTCAAATGTTGATTTAAAGCTTTCGTGACTGCAGGGATTCATATTCTTGGTTCTTCCAGTAAAGTCATGATGATGATTGCTTGTGTTGCAGTCGAAACGTCGTGAGAATTTTATCGTTTTATATTTTTATTATTTTTTTTGTTTCCCTACTACGTGACTTTTCCGAAAGAACCAAGTATATCACTTCAAATAGTCAAGTGACCTTAACAGCCAACATGGCGTTGGGAGGTCTTCATCCATAATTGGGTGGCAAGGGGTGGAAAACTATTAAGTCGAGCAATGTTTAATCACACAGCAGTAAACGGTTTGGATTTAAGAAAAACCCAAAATGTATTTCACATTAAAAATATATAACAGGTGATGTTTAAAGAAATGGCCCTGCTGTATAGCACGTAACTAGTAGTCTGTGCTCTCCTTACCACTCTTATAAACCCAGGATCTGTTCCAGTTTATGTTCATTGCATTTGTGATTGCATTTTGTGATTGATTTTGTGATTGATTCATACTCTGTCATATAAAGTATTCACATTTACTTTACCAAAAAAACCAAAGAGTAATTCCTGCAGTCACGAAAGCACCTAATCAAGTTTATCCCCATTTATATTATTATTGTTGTCTTTCCCCCCCCCCCCCCCCCAATGTATATCCTTCATGTAATTCATACAATGTTTAAACTGTCTGTAGGTGCACAAACATACAGCATTAGCAGCCAACTCGCAAGCCCAGCCACCCGTCCACAGTGGCCTATCTCGAGCAAAAAGCGAGATTCTAAGAGTCATGGAGATCCTCGTAGAGAAGATGCCAAATGATGTGGCTGATCTTCTGGTGGAGGTACGAATAGTACTTCAATGTGACATTGATGAATGTGATCATTTTCATGTTTATTTTATGCGAGAGCATTTACCACGTAACACAATATGTAAACAAAACCGAAAACAAGTCTTTGTTGTTGAATACTCCAAAACCTTGCCCATCGCGGGGATGTTTTTTTAAAAATAGCCACAATCAGCAAATCTGTGATCTGCAAACAAAGGGATATTGGGAAAAACAGGGTTTGATTCACAGTTCATAATATGAGCACCCCTGATTGTGTATTGTTACCCTACATTAGCACAAACATGAAATACGTCTCTTTAATGTCAAATATGATTCATAATTTCGATAGTGTTAAATATAACTTGTACCGTATATGTGTAGAATTTTATAAACATGTTGTGTGCGGTATTGCTGTGTGCATGTACAGTGAGGGAAAAAAGTATTTTATCCCCTGCTGGTTTTGTACGTTTGCCCACTGACAAAGAAATGATCAGTCTATAATTTTAATGGTAGTTTATTTGAACAGTGAGAGACAGAATAACAACAAGAAAATCTAGAAAAACGCATGTAAAAAATGTTATAAATTGATTTGCATTTTAATGAGGGAAATAAGTATTTGACCCCCTCTCAATCAGAAAGATTTATGTTACCTGTATAAAAGACACCTGTCCACAGAAGCAATCAATCAATCAGATTCCAAACTCTCCACCATGGCCAAGACCAAAGAGCTTTCCAAGGATGTCAGGGACAAGATTGTAGACCTACACAAGGTTGGAATGGGCTACACGACCATTGCCAAGCAGCTTGGTGAGAAGGTGACAACAGTTGGTGCGATTATTCGCAAATGGAAGGAACACAAGAACTGTCAATCTCTCTCGGCCTGGGGCTCCATGCAACATCTCACCTCGTGGAGTTGCAATGATCATGAGAACGGTGAGGAATCAGCCCAGAACTACACGGGAGGATCTTGTCAATGATCTCAAGGCAGCTGGGACACACTACGCCGTGAAGGACTGAAATCCTGCAGCGCCAGCAAGGTCCCCCTGCTCAAGAAAGCACATATACATGCCCGTCTGAAGTTTGCCGATGAACATCTGAATGATTCACAGTACAACTGGGTGAGATGAGACCAAAATGGAGCTCTTTCGCATCAACTCAACTCGCCGTGTTTGGAGGAGGATAAATGCTGCCTATGGCCCCAAGAACACCATCCCCACCGTCAAACATGGAGGTGGAAATATTATGCTTTGGGGGTGTTTTTCTGCTAAGGGGACAGGACAACTTCACCGCATCAATGGGCTGATGGACGGGGCCATGTACCGTCAAATCTTGGGTGAGAACCTCCTTCCATCACCCTGGGCATTGAAAATAGGTCGTGGATGGGTATTCCAGCATGACAATGACCCAAAACACACGGCCAAGGCAACAAAGGAGTGGCTCAAGAAGAAGCACATTAAGGTCCTGGAGTGGCCTAGCCAGTCTCCAGACCTTAATCCCATAGAAAATCTGTGGAGGGAGCTGAAGGTTCGAGTTGCCAAACGTCAGCCTCGAAACCTTAATGACTTGGAGAAGATCTGCAAAGAGGAGTGGGACAAAATCCCTCCTTAGATGTGTGCAAACCTGGTGGCCAACTTCAAGAAACGTCTGACCTCTGTGCTTGCCAACAAGGGTTTTGCCACCAAGTACTAAGTCATGTTTTGCAGAGAGATCAAATACTTATTTCCCTCATTAAAATGCAAATCAATTTAGAATATTTTTGACATGCGTTTTTCTGGATTTTGTTGTTATTCTGTCTCTCACTGTTCAAATAAACTACCATTAAAATTATAGACTGATAATTTCTTTGAAAGTGGGCAAACGTACAAAATCAGCAGGGGATCAAATATTTTTTTCCCTCACTGTATATGTAATAATATTCATGAAAATAAGTATAAGCTTAATGACATATACGATAAATATTACGCAGTTTAAAAAGGACAAACAAACTTTTACTTATTCTTAGTTTTTTCGGTAAAGTCACGTTGAAGAGAAACAACAAAAGAACAAAATATATATAAAAAAACAATAAAAAATTCTCACGACGTTTCGACCATAACTCAAACGGTCATCATCAGGTGTGTCGGTTTGCATAATTTTTTTTTTGAAAACGGCATATTTATTTGTTTATATAAAAATAACGTTTGCGTCACGCGCAACGATTGGCTGTTTGCCAGGACTAGTCCATCTATTTTTTGAAAAGAGGAGGGGGGAGACGAAATTTGTTTTTATGTATGCTGTCTGAAAGCCACTGTAAGCGTGAACAATCAATCAAGAACTGAAATGATTTATCAAATCTTTCCAATGATTGCTAAGATAGAATCCATCTTCTCGGTTGAAATTGTCTCTGTGTTTGTATATGTGGATAGCCTCATGAACGAATCTCTCATGGAAGCCAGATGGCTTACAAAGAACCTCCGTCTTGGAAAAGTCAATGGCATGTGAGCCTACTGAATTAGAACAATGATCTGCTACGGCCGAGGTGTTGGTCCTACCGTGTTTAAGGTCAGCTTTATGTTCACGAATGCGGTCCGAGATATGGCGTTTGGTTTCTCCAATGTAACTACTACCACAGAGGCAACTTAGTTTGTAGACACCAGGGTATTGTATGTCCGGAATCACATCTTTTACAGACGGAACCAGATCACGGATTTTATGTAATGTGTTGAAACGGACCTGGATCTTGTGTTTATTCAAGATTTTGGAGATCTTTTTTGTGATCCCAGCAATGTAGGGTAAAGTGATGGTTTTGAAAGGCTCCTCAAGAGGGTTCTTCTTCATGGTTTGAGTGATAGCTTTGCGGATTGTATAGTCGGAGTAACCATTAGCCCTAAGAGCTTGGTGTACGTGCTTGAGTTCACTGCTTATGTGTTCCTGGTCGGATATGCATTGGGCTCTATGATACAGAGTCTTGATGAGAGAATTCTTCTGTGATGGATGGTGGTGGGAATCCGGTTTCAGATAAGCATCCGTATGGGTAGCTTTCCTGTAGACAGAGTGGCTCATTGAACCATCAGGTCTCTTTTTAATTAGGACATCCAAAAAAGGTATCTTGCCATCTATTTCGACTTCCATGGTAAATCTGATGGCTGGGTGTATGGAATTGATGTGGTCGAAGAATTGGTCTAGAGCAGGCCGGCCATGTGGCCAGATGACAAAAGTGTCATCCACGTACCTCTTCCATAAGGTTGGGCGCAGAGTGGCAGTCTGGATGGCGTCAGTCTCAAATTTCTCCATGAAAATGTTAGCTATAACTGGAGAAAGGGGGGAGCCCATTGGGGTGCCCTCAGTTTGTTTGTAGAAAGTTCCATTCCAAGTGAAGTATGTATTGGTTAAACAGTGTCTCACCAGGGGGGGTACCTCAGTGTTTAGTCCTTGATGAACCAAGTCTTCAATGATTGCAATGGTGTCAGGTACAGGAACCTTGGTGAATAAGGAAACTACATCAAAACTGACAAGCAGGTCGTCTGGGGACAGGGAAATACCCTTGATTGTTGATACCAGGTGAGTAGAATTTTGTACCGCAGAGGTGGTCTTTCCAGTGAAAGGACGCAGGATTTCAGACAAAAAACGAGCTAGTTTGTAGGTGGGGGAGCTGATAGTAGAGACTATGGGACGAAGAGGTGTATCAACTTTATGTATTTTTGGTAAGCCGTATAATCTTGGTGGCCTGGCAATACCAATCGCATTTACACTCACCTCTGCTACTGTAACTTCTTCTAATGCGAAACGAATTCTTTTCAAAACTAGCTTAGCTCTTATCTCAGAAAAAATCAGACTTATACGCACAGAACTAGATCAGTTAGACAAGACACTCTACAAATCACACTTATCATTGACGGCAATAATGTCCACATCGGATTGGGAACATGTAGACAATATGACTGCCTCTTCAGCTGCTACTATGTCGACCAAATGTAAGGAAAACCTGATTTCCAAATTTAACCTCCTATTCAACAAAAGACCGGACCCACACACCAAAAAGTTAGACGTTAATAAAGTCGTAATTAATCGCAGTAACAGTTCTATTTCCGATGGTCTGAAATCCGTTTTAGCTAAAGGTCTAAACTTTGCAGTCACACCTAAACACATACCAGTTAATTATATAATTGCCCAAGTAGACGTTGCTCTCAGGGGCCTGGGTCACATCGCTGCAGACGTAGCAAGATCTGAAATCGCTGCAACCCTCAAAAACGCTAAGATGCCAGCTAGCAACCTCAGCAAAGATGAGCGTTTTGAATTATATAAATTAAAAAAGAGGAATGATATTGTAGTTCTCTCAGCTGACAAAGGCAATGCTACTGTTATCATGGATAAAATAGAATACAACAACAAAATTAAATAATTACTCGACGATGGTAGTTATACAAAAATAAAAAGAGATCCCACCAACAGCCTCGTCACACAAACCAACAAAATAATTTCTGATTCAACCGCATTAATTGATCAATCTAAACAGTTTTCGTTGAAACCTTCTGCTGCCAGGCCACCAAGATTATACGGCTTACCAAAAATACATAAAGTTGATACACCTCTTCGTCCCATAGTCTCTACTATCAGCTCCCCCACCTACAAACTAGCTCGTTTTTTGTCTGAAATCCTGCGTCCTTTCACTGGAAAGACCACCTCTGCGGTACAAAATTCTACTCACCTGGTATCAACAATCAAGGGTATTTCCCTGTCCCCAGACGACCTGCTTGTCAGTTTTGATGTAGTTTCCTTATTCACCAAGGTTCCTGTACCTGACACCATTGCAATCATTGAAGACTTGGTTCATCAAGGACTAAACACTGAGGTACCCCCCCTGGTGAGACACTGTTTAACCAATACATACTTCACTTGGAATGGAACTTTCTACAAACAAACTGAGGGCACCCCAATGGGCTCCCCCCTTTCTCCAGTTATAGCTAACATTTTCATGGAGAAATTTGAGACTGACGCCATCCAGACTGCCACTCTGCGCCCAACCTTATGGAAGA